TGAGCTCTTATTTTGTTTAGTATGCTCCAAACACGGCCAACGTACTCACGTCTCACGAGTAATTGCAAGTTGCAAAAATAACAACCGAAAAAGCAGTATAACGGCCGGAGTGTCTTACTTTTGATAAGTACATAAAGTATCAGTTATATTTTAAGCTTTTAAACTAGTAAATAATATCAAATTAGACAAAATTATCAATTATAAACCAACGCCACCAATGTTTGTGCGTGTGTTGGCGATTCCTTGGCCAAGTCTCGCCAACATTTGTATAAACAGAACAGTGGATGCATGGAGTCGATTTGTATTGAAAAAATAAGAAATTGTATCGTTTCTTGCTCGTTCTTCTCCATAGGAATCTACACCTTGGAATGAGCAAATAGCTTCACTTTTAAATTTATATTGTTGTTGTTCAAAAGTGCCTTCCTGGTATAACTGAAATAAATAATTTTGACTTAGACTTAGACTTTTAACGATAAAGTAAATAAACATATCATACACAAAAACGTACCGCTAATAAAAATTAGTGATGTATACTAAGATCCCGAAATGTTAATTTTCATATTATAAAATTATTTTAGTGTCCAACGCGACTCCATACATACCTCCTGTAGCGAAATTCGAAATTTGAAGAAGCAAAACGAAACAAAACAAAACGATATAGATCGCAAGACAATAATGGAAAAATTATCTTTATTTGTTCGATCTTAAGGTTGAATTCAAACTAGATATTGTATAACTTATGTCTTTTAATTTCTACATGACAGGAGTAAGAAAATACTTTTCTTGTCTTATATGACGAATAGTCGTAAGTATTAGATAATATTTTGACGATTTATGACTTTATTATTAGGTGCCATGGTTGTTATTAGGTTGAACTTAAAACTATTTTAAAACATTTTTCTCTGTTTGTTATTTTTTTACTATTATTATTCACACGGACAGAACTGGACCTTGATTTTGTACGTAACCCTTTATCTAGTTTTTATTGTTGATCGAAGGTAGTAACAAAGCTTTATGACTTCAGATACAACAAGGCGTCTTTTAGTTTCTTTTAATAATCAAGTAGATTTTTTAGTAATATTTATGCCTACTGATTACTTATGGCGACTAAGCAACAATATCATCATTGTTTTGTGCTTGAGGCTAATGTGGGGACCCATTGTACTCACCTAAATACGGCCCTGTACAGTGTACCTACTGTGTCAGTATTAAAGGTGTTTCTAAACGTGCGATATTTTTTGCAATAATTAGGTAGATATACATAAAGAACGAGTTTCGTGATTGAAGATTGATCTTAGCAAAAGAAAGTTTATTACTTTGTTTAACCGACGGAACATTATAAATTATGTATTACTATAATTGATTATAGAGTCGTTAAAGTTCCAGATACAATATGTTATAAATGTTCCTTTATTGGCCTGTTCGAAGAACTATGTGGATATGTGCTGCTACAATACATTAAGCTACCTAAAGATTCTGAGTATTAGTTAAGTATGTAGGTTCTAAAATGATTACCATTACGTAGCTACTAATGGGTGGGTTTCTTAGGATTGCAATGCATACGCACTTGATACGCTGCCTGTAGGTAACTATTGAATACTTGTAACATAATACTCGTATCTATGAGAACCATTCAACAGACCAGAAGGAAGTAGATAACAAATGATAATAACGGTTGAAAGTATTTTTGTATAGACAGACTTTACTGCACAAGCACACACCTGTCCTGTACCTATTATTGGTACTTAAAAGTACTGTTAAAGATGGTCTAAAATTTGCATGTTTTTATTTTTTTTAATGGGGGAAAGTCATCGAATTTTGGGAGGGAGTGTCAGCCTCTTACTGACTAAAAACCACCCCGTTCCTTCTCCTGCGCTTCGAGCCGGAGCCCCGGTTAGGTTACCTATTTACGTGTGTACGTATACGTAGACATTGCACACACTTCATTTGCTAATCGCTAAATACCGATGTTATTTTTCATCAAATTATCGACATATTTCGATGTTGATAACAATTGATAAGCAAGGGCAGTTATAGTAAGTAACTGAAATATTGAATAGTGCTATTATATACTATTTATGATTTGTAGGCTACCTCGTTGGCCAAGTGGTCACAAGTGCGACTGCTAGGCAAGGAGTCTCGGGTTAGAATCCCGGGTCGGGCAAAGTATTACTGGGGTTTTTAAAAATTTCTCAATAGTAACTCGGAGTCTGGAATTGTGCCCGGTATATCTATGGCAATAGGCTCATCCCTTATTACATGGGACTCATAAAGTAGTGAAAAGTGGCTGTTACATTGTGCAGTGTCATTGAGTGCTGTAATGTGCGCCTCTGTCTACCGCTTCGAGGATAAAAGGCGTAATGATGATGATTATGATATAGGCTATTTGTGTGTGTGTAGTGAAATGTTAGTGTTAGAGTAGAGACACTATTATGTTCAACTCTGTCTACCACTTTAAACATTGCTATTTTGAGGTCGTCTAGATTAGGCAGGTTATGGGATAACTGAGGGCTTAGTACAAGTTTGTTTTACGTTTAAAGTAACCGTAACGAGTACGCGTTCGGCGCTCTGATTGGTTGCTTCATTGGCGCCGGCCAATCAGGGCGCCGAACGCGTACTCGTTTCGAATCTATATCTATACTAATATTATAAAGAGGAAAGATTTGTATTTTTGTATGTTTGTAATGAATAAACTCAAAAACTACTGGACCGATTGCAATAATTTTTTCACCATTAGAAAGCTGCATTATTCAGAAGTAACATAGGCTATATAATATCACGCTGGGTCCTATAGTTGTGGACCAGTAACCAAAAATGTTTTAAAAACGGGGAAAAAGTATCGTTTCTGAGGCCTTCCGTGGCGTGCGCTGAGCATATAGTTAAAGTTATACAAAAATGCTCTATAGATGAATTGTAATAAAACGTAAAACTATGTAAAAAATCTTAAGTCCCCCCGTGCGAAGCCGGGACGGGCCGCTAGTACTTTATATATTACTTTATATATTTCGAATACTCTGATAACACTTCTATCACCTTGATATCATCCGGGTTTTTTTAAATGATGTGTATTAGGACAAATATCATAACAACAAGAGAAATTATTCTATCCTCGACATTCAAATCAAGCCCAAGGCCTACTATTAGACCATGGAGGCAATAAAAATACTTATCTCGTTTATGACTGCATTTCGTGACAAAGCAACTAAAAAAAATTTAGATTGATGAAAATACGTAAGTAGTCCTCTTTCTACCAAGAAGATATGGATATTTTTGGAATATTATGTAAGTATCGGTATGGACTTTGTTTTGATCTTATACATATATACTGTGTCCATCGAGGGAAGTGGAAACTATAGTTTTTTCTTCTTCTCCTCTTATAATATCTTCTGATTCACTTCGTTGCGGGAACCAAAACAGTTACTCATGTCCCTGGGACGCGCCGGACTTCAATGTTCCGGTGTTTTCATGGTTGTATCTACTGTAGATCCTGGCTTACAGGAGTTGCAGCGGTTTTGGGAGGTTGTGGCGGGCTTGTCAAAATCAAATCAAATCAAATCACTTTTATTTGTTAACATAGGTGCATACAGATATAGGTCTTATATATGGTAACAAAAAGAGCGCTATGCTATACCCGGAGGCGTACAAATTGTGGTATTTAAAAATGTCACTTAGGTCAAAATAGGTCAATCAATTAAAATGTCTAAATGTATTAAATGTCAATATCAAAAATTAATTTTGTATAAAATTATTTCAGTTATTCAAGTTAAATGTAACAAACAAATAATGTGATAATAATATAATATAAATAGACAACATACAGTAGTCAAAGTTTCGCAATTGCAGGTTAATAATTTATTAATAATTCAGTCACCAAGTATGTGGTCACCCAAAAATATCGATATTGCAGGTCAATAATTGTGGTCATTTAAAAATTCCGTTAAGTTATAAAAACATTTGGCTATAAGATATTTTTTTAAATGTATTTTAAACAGAGTAGTGGGCAATTGTTTAATAGGTTTAGGGAGTTTATTATATATTATTGGAGCCAAACAAAAGATACTTTTTCGCATTAACGCCGTTGTTGATCTAGGTACGCACAGTCTATTGTTATCCCGTCGATTACGTATACAGATATCTGTTATCTTCTCGTACAAGTTGAGATTACTCTTCACAAAAATAGCCACCTCATAAATGAACAAGGAAGGGAGACTTAAAATATTATGTTTAATGAAATATTGTTTGCAACTATCAGTCATTTTTAGGCCGAACATAGCTCTGATACATCTTTTTTGAGCTTTGAAGATAGTTTCTTTGTTGGTAGAATTTCCCCAGAATATTACTCCGAATCTCAGTATCGAGCCAACAATACCATGGTAAGCAGTTGTCAGCAGTTATTGTCCCATAAAAAAAAATATACTGTTTAAAACCCATAGCAGTCGATTTTTTTTAAATTGCTGGAGCATAGCCCTCGTCTACAAAAGAGGAGTTTCTATGATATCCACGTTTTGCAATCGGCTTGGAAGTTGGAGCTAGTAATTTGATTCGTTGATGGCAGAGCTCTTTGATAAACCTGAATCTTTTCTTTCATGATCTTAGTTCTCTGCTCTGGGTGCCCAACCCAATCTCTGATCTGAGAGTACGGAGCGTCGCGTTCCGCGCATGCCTCAAAGGGCCTAGTTCTAGACCACCATACAGTAAGGATAATGCCAATACGGAGCTGCGGAGGACTTAACGCGTTGCCGGGTTCTGCCTCGCTCGAAGTGCAGCAGTAGCACTGAGATGCTTTTAGTCACTAAGAGTGGAACACTCCTTCCCGCCTCACCCAAGACGGGAGAAGTCATTAAATGATTTCCCTCCTCAAAAAAAATCAATCTCTGTCAAAATTACTGTTACTTACGCTACCTGCGGAAAAAGTAGGGATACAATATTAGTCAATACACGGCTAGATTAAATATGACTATTATAATTATATACTTAAGTTTCATTTTCCTCTGTTCCAGGCGCGGTTAGATTGGTCAAAACCTCTTTTATGTCAGCTGGATGCCATCGCCCCTCACTACGACACTTGGGTGAACTCGGCAGTGTATAGGAAGTGCAGGCTCTTCGCCAGTCCTGTCCTGGAGAGCTTCACGTACACACCTTGGTATTTGGTGCCTATGTTCTGGGTACCTATCATATTGTACCTTGGAGTCACACAGTATATGGAGCTGGTTGCTTGTGGAGGTACCGTATAATTCATTTGTAAATTATAACACTATCGTGAGATGCATAAGTTAATTATGTTAGGTACACAGCTTACTTAACTAACTTTGACTGAATTATGGGCCCCTAGCATCGCTTGAAACTAGTCGAATGAAGTAAACGTTCATATTTTATATTTACGGTTATAAATATCCTATGAGTCAAATCTTCGTTGTGAAATTTGGGCGAGGTCTATATGTCTATGTCCACTATGTCCAGTCTGATTGCTGGCCTCGAAAGACTGAGTTAATTAATTGGTCTATATGATACGAACCACTGATTGTAAATCTCGTTGCTTACAATTTTGATTTGACTTCATGTTATTTAATAAAAACCTCATGGTCATCTATTAATTTTATCGCTTTATTGTGTAAGGATTTAAATTAAAGACTAGACCACCCATAGAATAAAAAAAATAAATTTATCTATTAAATATTAATATTATAAATATAATGAATGTTTATAATAAATGTAATAGTTATCGTGAGACATACTAAATTAACTAAAATCGCAAGTTACTCACGTGAATATAAGTAGGTACTGAGAAAAGCTCTACCGAACCATAGAGGGGTTCTTGCTCATGAGCAGCGAGCGCGGTCGCGGCGATGTCGCGCAGCTCACTAACCGCTGACCGACTGCGATAATAATGAATATATTCAAATAATAAATCTAATTTAAATAAATAAATCATACAATTATTTATCTTCTAATCGCCCTGCATATTATCTATGGCTAGAATATGCAATGAGAATTCAGTAAGTTGGACAGGGATTTATAAAATATAAAATATCTGATTCCTCTTTTATTTGCAAAAACTAAACAAGATTTTTTTGTTTTACTAATATGAACGATAAATAGTTCCAATCAAAAACAACATACACCAGTGTATAACTATGTTTTTTTTTTCAGATTCCTGCAAGCAGACGTCGCTGACAACCATTCAGTATATCTATCACATAGTATTAGGGATATTATTATGGTCTATCCTGGAGTACAGTCTACACAGATGGGTGTTCCATCTCAATCCAGGATCTTCAGTCACGATGATTAAGCTACACTTTCTCATACATGGAATGCATCACAAGGTGAGTTCTTAAATGATGATGATGACTGGTGTTAACATACCATATTACATAGAACATCTGTCAGTAGATTTTAATAAACATTATCATCAGCTGGACTTATGTATATGGACCAGATTGGCGATATAGTACCCTTAACCGACAAGTACCTATGCATGAAAGACTGATTACTGTTGAGGAAGTGAAAGAGGTATGTAAGAATCGTAGCAATTTGCGTTCTATAGTTTCTGCTTACTCTCATGGGAGACAAGCGTGAGGTTATGCCTGTATCATCAGCTAGAAAATGATGCTAAATGAAAAACCTCAACAAATGTTTCCTTACTTAAGATTTTGATCGGCCAATCTATTGGATTAGCTAATTACTTAGGACATTTTAGATTTTAAGCAGATTTGTTGGGATGACAAACAAACGCCGTCTCGTTTATGCTGCTAATATGCGGACAATAATATGTCTAAATAAACTAATTTATTTGTGATAAAACTATATTACGATCAGGCGTTTACGTCAGCCTTCTACGTATACCTAATAAATAATTGGCATGCTTCCTGATGAATAGTATTAATGGTACCTTTTTATTCTGAGGTAGTTGTAAACGCTTTTCCTTTCTCCTGAGTGTTTACTAGAATCAGCTGGAAATAAGCATTAATTGCCTGTCTCCGTCGCTCTCTCCATTCTACTTAGATCTTTTAGGCTAGGCTATTCTATAAGAAGTCCTTCCGAACTCTCGAAGTGAGCTCGATCGCATTTTCGCTAGTCATTGGTCGAGATTATTCTTACCAATCACATGGCGGACCGCGATCGATTGATCGAGATCTTACAGAATAGACTAACTGTTGTCAGATTTTTTAGCTTCGAGTTTTTGATGAGGACCGACAGATGAATAACCAAAAATCCCCATAATTTTGGTAATTTTCGGATAAGGTGCATGGTATCTAATTTTGTTCTGTTGTGTTTAAGTACTGCTAGAATTACCATTTAATGCTTTATAACTCTCTAAAACTTTTGTACCTCCGCAGGTTCCATTCGACGGGCTCCGTCAGGTGTTCCCACCAGTACCTGCGTTCCTGCTGTCAGTCGTGATATATTCAATATTGCAGTTTTTCCTCGACTACTCATACATTAAACTCACTGGAGGACTCATTGGTAAGTGACTTTTATTACTTCATTTTTGGGAGTTTGTTGAATGTCAGTATTTTACTTAGAGCAACTGCCATCTATCCTCTACTACTTTGAATAAAAAAGAATGACACTTACCTCCTAGGCATAACACTTAAGGGTCATGGCAAATAGTAACGGCTCGACTACGGCACGACGTATTTTGCTATGGAAACAATACAAAAAATCCAGCGCGTGATGCCATTACTGTATGCCACGACCCTGATAGAAAAAAAAGGTATTTTTAATTCCCACGGCGATAAAAAAATATTGTACGTCTGGGGGCCAGGAATCGCCCTTTCGCGTTAACTTTCTTTAGCCATTTTCTTTACGATGTAGTCGTTCAAATTCAAAAAGAGGCATCATCATATAATTTATCGGAAGAATTTGTATAGACAGATTCTTCCGATGTGGCACATTGGCAAGGTACACACGTAACATAGAGTAGACCCATCAGATTGTAACTAGATATTGTTTCTTATCATATACTTCGATAAACCGTTCTCAAAACTGCCGTTATATAGGAATGTCAATAATTACATAGTTATATGTAGGTATACTACCTAGATAGATACCTACCTAGATAGTTAAATACATGTCTAAAGTTTATGTATCATGTACTAGCTTTTTACTCGTGTATACTTTTTACTTTATACCTATGAAAATTAAGAGCATTTTTCTCGGGAAGGTCCCGCCTATGTTACTTCTGGAAAAGCAAGCTTTCTAATGATGAAATATTATTTTAAATTGGTTGAGTACTTTTGATAGTTATCCAGTGCAGACAAACGGATTTCTTTAATGTTCTTTCCTCTTTTATATTGGTAACTAACTATAGACAGTACCGTCTTTACCATAAGGGCTCTCAGGGCCAGTGCCCAGGTCCCCCATCCTCAGGAGGCCCCGAAGGACCGACAATTTCTATGACGGACACACACCCGCTTCCCAAATTGTTGTTTTTTGTCTGGGTGGCATGTGTATGTGAACTTGTATGTTTGTAAATGCATCCACGACACGGGAGGAAATGCTAGTGCGATGCAAGGTTAAAAAACATCCCAAAAGGGCCCCCAATTCTTATGTGCCAGAGGGCCCCAGCGTAGTCTAATACGGCCCTGACTATAGATTATGACTATGACTGTGTAATTCTGAATTTTAAGATCATTTTGTATCTAAGTTAATAATCATGACTAAGATTTTATGACGAATTAGAATTAGCTAATAAAACACATCGGCTATATAATTATTATCTGCTTAAATACTTAATTATATAATCATACCTATTCGCATTGTAATTCCCTGGCTTAAGATATACGATAGATGCATCAATAGTGCCTACATTGAACAGGTGTGCCAAACAATAATAAATAGGTACCTAGATATGTGTTTATGAAATAACTAGTGCGTTCGTGTATTATTAGACTCCTAATCGATCTGGAATGATGTATGGTGATGAGCAGGCCGGCGGGATGTCTGCGTCAGTCTTTATGGCCGAGCGTCACAATACATTTCTCATTCTCAACCAATTTAGGGTTATGTGTATTAAGTATTTAGGCAAATATGGGCGCGGTTTGACCGAAATTGGTAGTTCAGAAAGTACGACTGAGACAGGCTACAAAATATTTAGAGCATTTTAGGCGTATAGTTTTCGGATGGATTACCATTGCCAGTTATACCTATAACGCGATATTCATCATATTTTACATCTGATGACTTTCCAATCTTTCGGCACTACTGCAATCCATGCATGTTGCAAACCTTGATCACAGATGAGCTAAAGGTACTTTACTACGCTCAAAAGTTTTTATTTAGTCCAATTTCTACATAGGTTGTTATTATGACAAGGAATCGTGGATTAACAATATTTATGGACAACCCTGTGTTTGGCAAACGTCAGTACGCCTCGTACGTAATAGAAGCGACGTTTAATCTATGTGTGTAAACTGTAAATAGAGGCATTTTGTGTGGATCAGGTGCATATGTCATTTGAATGATTACCTAGTATTTTGTTTTTGAAATGGATTATGTTTAGGATAAAGTTTAATATGAAAGAATGAGACCCTCTCTTGACATGTTTACATGATGATTCCGAATCAGTTGCTGTAGCCCGTCTCACGATGTCCCGCCAATACTACTGACTAGCCGATATTTTTGTGCACTTATGCAATGGCATGCCCATTAGATTTTCACTTGATCAGCCCATCACATTGGCGGTCGTCCGCGCATCCTTGTGCCCTCAACTCTACCCTGGACGACGAGACCCTCTATGGAGTCTTGAGACATGTCCGAATATTTTAAGTACATGACCCCAATTAGTATCCTCATAGGAGAAGGAACAATGAAAACTTTATGCAAAGAGTATCTTTAAGTTCCTTTCCAAACCCTTGATTAGTTCGCAGCTATCTTAAATGCTAGATGATCGGGAGAGTTGACCTTTGTCATAAGGCAACTCAATCCTTTTCCCTGTAATTATTACAAGTAACAGGCTCTTGTATGACTCTTATCTATCTTTGGCTCACTCAGGAAGGATGTATAATTCCAACAAATAGAAGATTATGGTAACATTCCGATATTACGAGTATAATATCTCTCTCATCTGTCACTTGTATTTATTTATCGTATGGATCAGCTTTATCATTGTTACGTAACTATCTTCTTTGATAACCAAAATAGAATTATATTAAACAACACTTTGATAAACGTCAGAACTCCTAAATGCTTCTAAGGTTACAAGCAGACCGCCTTCCGGTTTCGCTTTGCATGCATTTCTAGGAGCTGAACATTCCTGGTAAATTAATGATCGTTCCTAAAGTTTTTGACTATAATATTATCTTATACTATTAGTATCTACTTTCGTGCGGTTTCACCCACTATGCTCGACGCCTATTAATCGTAGCGTGATGCTTTGTAGCCTATAGCCTTCTTTGATAAATGTACTGTCCTACGCAAAAATATTTTTTGAAATCGGACCAGTTGTTCCTTGCGATATTAAGCTGAAGAGTTTGTTTCTGTGAACGCGCTAAAGTCAGGAACTAGGGTATTTTTCAGATCGGACCAGCATCCAATTTGAAAAATACTCACGGTACTATAAACGGTAGTTTAAGCTTAATAAATCCTAACCTTTAAAGTAAGTTGGTATGTTAAATAATTTTTATCAATACGATGCATCATTTCTATTTAAACCAGGCGGTTTCATCAAAAAAGAAGGTATATCTAGTTTGTACCAGATACTTACATTTCCTGGTGTCTTATCACTGTTATCTCTGCAGGGTACCTGACGTACGACATGATTCACTACTACGTGCACCATGGCTCGCCCCGTGATGGCACCTACCTCTACGCCATGAAGAGGTACCACTCTAACCATCACTTCATCAACCATGACAAAGGTTAGTATTTTGGTACTTTTTTGAGGGGTAAAATCATCCAATGTCTTCTCCCGTCTTGGGTTAGGCGAGAGGGAATGTCAGACTCTTCCTGACTAAAAACAACTCCATTTCTTCTCCTGCTTTACGAGCCGGTGCCCCAGCAACCTGTTAGACCTTCCGCGGCTCCGTTTCGGGCATCAATCCTAATGGGCACTTATTGTGATGGTCTGATTGCTATTTGTGGCGCGCGCGGAAGGCGACGCGCCGTGCGCACGGGTCTGCTTCTGATCGGGCAAGCTGCTCTTGCTCATCGTCCGCAGACCTAGCTAATGGCTAGAGCAGGACTAGGAATGTTCAACTCCTCACAACCTGAATATAGTTGCTGGCTGTTTGCGCCTCTTTTTATTGGGTCGTCTGCCGATCTTGAGTACATGCGTTAACGATTGTTAATATGTGGGACATTTTCGTAGCTATCCAAGTTTGTAAATATAAAATATTTGATATGTAGGTTACACCTTTGCCTAACATTCTTTAAAAAAGATAGTAAGTTAAATGTTTAACTACAAATCCAATTTGATGGGTATATTTTGGTGACACTTAATTTATCTGTGACGTCACATCTGATTACAGTTTTATCAATGTGTTTTTGATCTTAGTTGACGGTACATACATGGATAAATAAATATAAATATTTATTTTCTTTTTTTTAAAGTTACTGTTTAGATATAGGTACGTTACTTTTATTATGTGTTACGTCTGTTATTCAATTAATAACTTAAATGCCTAAATGGTTTTTCTATCGCTTCGTAACAACTATCAGGCTTCGATAAAATTAAACATAAAGTACTTTAATAATGATTCGATTAGTTTCGGGTCCCCTTGTGGTTCGAAATTAATCGGACATTCCCGATTAATTTCTATAGGAATTTTAATTATGTCTCGCAACAAATACGTTTAATTTTGTTATGTATTTTTTTTCTTTTGTTTCAGCCTTCGGCATCAGCAGTAAGCTGTGGGACATAGTTTTCAGAACATTTGTCCACGTAAAAAAGTTAGGTTTTAGCTTACATTGGTAGGATAAGCTAAGCATATTTAGCATAGCTAGGTACTGAGTTAAAATTGTTGATATTCTGCTAAAGTTTATTTAAAATATGAAGCCAGCACTGTTGTGAACCTCCGCCGGAGGGCATGAGGGTTGAAATATTTTAAAGATTTTTAATCTGTGTAATATATGAGAGCGATTGTTAAAGTGTTAATAATTTTTTATTTTAAAGTTCATTTTTTATTTAAGATTACCTATTGCCCGCGACTTCGTCCGAGTAGAATAAGAACTTTTTGTTTTAAATTTCCAAAATAAAAATAACCCATTTTACTCCTTAATACATCAGCTACTTCCGAAGCTTTGCAAAATCGGTCCAGTCATTCCAGAGATTAGACAGTACAAACAGGCAGACAAAAATTGTAAAAAAATGTTATTTTGGTATGTGTATATTAATGTATATTCCATATGCACGTAGTAAGAGGCGGTTATTTTAACATTACAAGCAGAAACTCTAATTTTATCTATCTGTATAGATTTTTAAAGTGTGGAACACACAGTGTGTCTTTTTGCTTCTTATTTGTGTACACTCTGCTTATCCTTTGGGAGTATAAGTTTTGATTTTTTTTACACTGCAATCGAACTATAGATCTTATAGTCTACATATTATATTTAGATCGCAATGTTAAACACATATAAAGTTATTATCTAATTAGTTTATGCGTAGTGACAGTATGTATAAGTAAAAGCATTGACCTCTTCTAACTGTGTCAGATTTCAAGGTTCGAAGTAAAAGTAATACTAGATATCAAGCTTATTATTCTGCGATAGGTTAGGCAGAGTTATCCTGCTACTGGTAACAGCTGACAGAGGTTATTTGATTGCCGATTATAATTATAAACGGCAAAAACGGTAAGTTTCAATGAACTGTCATCTGTAGATTTCAATAGCATATCAGTCCAAAAACCCTGGATTGAGATCGATTTTGATATTTGTTTCCGTCAAAAATCTAATTGAAATCAGCCGTAAGTACCTAATTAAATAAAGTAAATAGTTCTTACATAATTATTTTTGATAAGATTCAATATACATATAACATAACATCACGCCTTTTATCCCGAAGGGGCAAGCAGAGGTGCACATTACAGTTAGTACCAGCAGTTAATACCACTATACATGTAGATAACACCCACTTTTCACTATTCATATTATGAGTCCCATGTAATAGGGTGAGCCTATTGCCTTATTGACTCCGTGCTACTACTGAGAATTTGATGTTTTATACAAAATATATAGTTAAACACAGAACATAAGTATTATATTTAGGTTGAGACTGGCTGAGTTTTTTTATATTTGACAAGTATTGTACAGAATTTTTTTGTTAAAATAGGTTAATGTGTTTCTATGGTTTCTACCTCTAGACTAGTTCTGTTCTTACAAAAGTCTCGTATTAATATTATATAAGTTAATAATAAGCAATGGAGTTAAACATTGTTGTTGGCATTGACCAATATTTTATTATCTTCTTGACGGAGTTTTGGCTATTCCCATTGGAAATAAATACTAGGTACCTGGGTAGTTAGTTATCTATGGATCATTTTGGAAAACCGTTTAAAACATTGTTTTCAAACACCAAATTCATGATTTTTTTGTAGGAGAAATGATTGTGTGCCATGGTAGAGATTTTAATTTTTATTATTATTTTGTTATACATTAAAATGTAAAATCGAAAATCATGAAATTTTACGAGTTTTTCATTGAAATATAAATGGTAAAGGTGTACCTACCTAACACGATTTTGTTTCTATGTATGTACATAATATGTATAGCAGGGATATTACGTATTTAATAGAACTTTGATTTAATGGTGATTATATTATTTACTTACCTATAGTTATTTTCTGTGCTCTAAATATTAACATTCCTTTTAACATGCAGATGTATTATAACTAGGTGGAAGATGTCCACAGAACCTTCCAGTGGGGATATTATGTCGTCAGAATGGCTCTATTTAGGGAAAGAAACAGAGCTATACAAGTCGTCTAGCGAGATCTCGCTCTCAGCTCAACCACTCTGGCTTTAAGACGTCGTAATACTGGCGTACTGGCCATCAGCACTTCTTTTTTTTATAGCATAAGCCGATATCGAGCAGACGGATCACCTAATGGTAAGCAATGGGCGTCGCTCATAGACACCTGGAACACCAGAGGCGTTACAAGTGCGTTACCGGCCTTATGGAGATTCTTCTCATGACTCTTTCTCATCATCTCATGTAATGAAGCCTACCTATATTCAAATCTGTGATCATAAACAATTTTCGTATAAGTAAGTAGATCTTTAAATACCACTAGGTATCAAGTTACCTTCAGCTTCATAACAGAAGTTCTACCATTTTTCCAAGGGACATAAACACCTGGAAAAATTGCATTAAATATTAGTAGGTATAATCGAAAGGAATACATACTTAGAAATGTAAAAATACAGGTTTTACATAGGTTTGGTCATGTTTTTTTCTATCAATTACTATTTTGCCAATTGTCTAGGTCAAAAATCTATAAACGTGTTAGATTTGGAGAAACAAAGTTGGCTAGATTTAATGTCCTAAGTAACAATGTGCCTTAGTCTCTTATAACACAGTTTTAAAAAATTCGGTCATTACCTATAGGCTTAAAGAAAAATAAACTGCGACTTAAAAGTGATATTGCAAAAAAAATATGATGCAAGAAATAGCCTAAAGTTGAGAAACTCATGTTTACCTACCTATAGTGTTACTGTTACCTATTAGGTATAATCTATTGTGATGTGTCATAAGTACTTATCATGCCTAATTACTTTTTTATTACACACGTTTCTATATATAAGTCGTCAATATTATAACACTTAGGTATGCGATTTGTTGATTAGGTACCTAAATCTTAATAGATACAACAACATACTATATAACGTTTAAGATCTTTGTTACTAACAACAATAGGTACCTAGACAAAACTTACTCTGAAATAACTGAACTTCGTTGTTATTATTAATACGATTTTCATAGGTATTTTCTTTTAAACATTGTTAACGGACTATTTTGTTTGAGGGCTCGTACATAAAACTACACTAAACTGTACGAGCTCCCTCTACGCATCGCAAAACTTGTGAATTGATTCATCGCATCTTATCAGCATCAAAATCTTATGTTCCCAAAATCTTCTTTGTTTCTTTTTACTGTATCTCCTGAGCAGAAGTGCACACTTCTTTTTACGGTCCATATCACGACTTAGTTTTCAATTTAAAATACGTTTAGTACGGCTGACGGTCGTCGAAGGAATGGTCACCCTGGGAGACGCCTTGTCGCATGAAATCACATCGCAGCAATTTGCATCGCATCGCAATTTTGTGTACGAGCCCTATGACCATGTGCCTATTTTATTTGTCAAAAGTCAGCAAATGTGAAAAAAATACTCATAAAGACGATTTTTTACATTCAATTTTTATGGGATGTTCTCGGTAGTATTGAGGTCTCAAGGCACTTAAAAGAATGTTTATTTACAGTACCTACGTAAAACAGAAAAAAATATGTACATCACTTTTTTCAACATTTTCGAACTTGGTACGAAAATGGGTCACCAATCAGCATTGAGTTTTATTTCACTTTTAACCCATAAATCCCCAAGCGGTCACCGGTGACCGCTTTCCACTAATATTACATTACATTATAGACCTTATTTCTAATGTTTAGAGACAACTTTTGTATGACCAAATTTAGGGGATGAATTTCAACGGGTTTAAACCAAATTTAGTACGTTTTGAATGTGCAACAACAATGTAAATACATACTAGATTAGACCTTTCTGTAAATAATATTTATCATTTTACGCTAACGCAAGTGAATTATATAACATCATCACGCCGTTTATCCGCGAAGGAGGAGGCAGAGGTGCACATTATGCCACTGTACAATGTAACACCCACTTTTCACTATTTATGTTTTGAGTCCAAAGTCATAGGGGGTGAGCATATTGCCATATACCGGGCACAATTCCAGACTCCGTGCTACTACTGAGAATTTTTTAAAATCCCAGTAATAACTTGCCTGATCCGGGAGTTAAATCCGAGACCCTTGCTCAGCAGTCGCACTTGCGACCACTTGGCCAACAAGGCAATCAAGCAAGCGTATTACTGATGTAATTTCATTGTTATATGCTCATAGTAATCGTAAAAATGGTTTGACGACCACGATAAGCTGTAGTTTACACATCTTATCGTTTTCCCGTTAAAACAGGGTTAAGTCAATTCTTGGAATTATGGACGGCATTAGGGCGGAATACCCAGTGACGTCATGTGACAGTAATAATTTGAAAAACAAAATGGAAGGTCAGGAACAGATTGAGTTTGCATTAGTTTTCATTTCTTTCCGCTTTTTTTCTTTGACCTGAAACTGTGTTTATTTTTAAAGGTTTAATTTTCGTGCACAGATTCAGTATTTACATGGGTTTCAAATACTGTTAGAGGAGAAATTCTGTCTAAGAAGATTTAAAAACTATGATAATTAATGAAGTAGGTGATACTTTTTTTTCTTCTTTGGCAACCGAGTCTCTAAAATGGTGTTGTCATGATCCTGTTTTCACAGTTACCCTGCACTACAAGGCTATTCTATAGCTGTCAATTCGACTTTTCGAGGTGAGCTCGATCGTATTCTTGGTCGTCATTGGTCGAGATTATTCTAACAACCAATGACATGCCGTGTCACCGCGATCGAGTTCACTTCGATCTTTCGAATTGAACGTTACACAATAGTCTTTTCCTTCAAGCTATAAGCGCTATAAGTCCTTGAATATTGTACTTATTTATTATGATATAGAGCCCACAGATTATATTGTATTTAGTATCTCATGCCTTAAATTACATGAAACGAAACCGTGCAATTAACAATAATTATTATTGTATTGTAAATATTCGAAATAAAAGTTTATTAAGTTTGTATTTTGTTTTTTTTTATTTTATTATGTAATTGCTGATCCTGGTTATACCTGAAAAATTAAGAATAGTGATATTCATATAATACGTAAGACAGTTTATTTCGTAAATACCTTCCTTCTTACATACATAACGTCACGTCTCTCTCATGGGGGATTTTTTTAAGGGGGGAAAATCATCGAATGACTGTTCCCGCCTGGGTGAGGCGGGAGGGAGTGTCAGACTCTTACTGACTAAAAACCACCCCGTTCCTTCTCCTGCACGTCGAGCCGGAGCCCCGGTTACCCGTTAGGTTCTCCGCGACTGTTGGGAATTTGAGGACTGGGGAAGGGGGATAATTGGGCCTCTGCTAACCTCACACAAACGACGAAACATAATGCAAGCGTTGTTTCACGTCGATTTTCTGTGAGGCCGTGATATAACTCCGGTCAAGCCAGCCTATTCATGCCGAAGCATGGATGAAGCTCTCTCACACATAAACGTATAATTGTAGAAAATATATAAGAGTGATTTTGCCTCTCTTGGATACTCCCCATCGTACAGTATCTCTACCCTTGAACGTTAACTCCCCGGCCACTCCGTATACCGATAAAAGTTTTCAAAAACAGTAGCCCTTATCTGCTATGATCTTACACACGGACGATGAAAAACGACGTCTTAGGTAGTTACACGGTCAACAGACCATCAAAGTCAAAGTCAAAGTCAAAGTCAAAGTCAAAGTCAAAGTCAAAGTCAAAGTCAAAGTCAAAGCATTTATTTCAATTAAACCATAGTTTGGTACTTTTGAAACGTCAACAAATACAAAATAAATAATAGTCTGTCAGTCAGTCCGTCAGTGAAGCTAGGTGAAGCTAGGTGCTCATTCCAAAACGTAGATTCGAATGGAGAAGAACGAGCAAGAAACTCCATTCGTTACTCTTTTAAAAAAGTATGTTCTACAATGTCTCTGATACATATTTCAATACTGTACGCATATGTAAGAACAATGCAAAGATACGCTTGACGCATTATACTAATAACTTACTAAAATAAAAATAAAAATAATAAAGATCTTAAGTCTAACATGGTCTAACATGGATAAAACAAATTAAGCATAAAACAAATTCGTACTAGTTCAGGCTACGTAAGCAATTCGCGTACTTTCGTACAATCGAGTCATAATCTATTACCTACATTTTAATGTAGGTACCTAATATGGGGCAAACCTATATAGTGAAATTGATAAAACACGTCTATAACTTGTTTAATTTAGTAACAATTACAAATTAGATTACTATTTAAAGTATTTAGGTATGGCTATACTTAGGTAATCAGATGAATCATACGAAATAAAGGTTGGTAGGTAATGATTGTGAAAATGCAAGTAATATTCACATAAACATGCTTTATCCTTCCAAACAGTTAACTAAACAAGATTTGCGTAATTTACGTGACATGATAAGATGCTAAATTATTCGAATTGTTACAACCAAAATTAATAAACTAATTTTAATTTCACTTCAAATGCACTTGCAACAAAAAGGGACGCCATTTTTGTTCCATATTTTTAAATCTAAGTTGACTTTGTTCTAAAATTAACACTAATTTTTTTATTGAAAAATTATATGGCGACGGCACTTTTATGTTCATTACTCTGAGTGCCAGCTACAATGACAGTGATTACAATATTTCGTGATTACAGGAGTGTTTTGCGTGTGTCCGTATTTTTGTGTTTGTTACTAAATACTAGTGGATGTTGCCTAACTGACTGGGACTTGGACTTTTTGAGTGATGACCTTTTTCCTGATGTATCCCCTTTACTGGCCAGTACCAAATCTTTTTTAGAAGATTTGCTAAAAATAAACACTTATTCTATGGGTGAGTTGTAGCAATATTTTTTTTCTGAGTAACCGATGTGTGGACTGGAGCTTTAGACAATTTTGTCAAATCAAAATCGGTTTATTTAATTTTGTAGACCTATCTGTTTCAAGAAGGTATACTTAGTTTAAAGTGGCTTTCCCTAAGAATCAAAAACTAAATACTGTAGTAGTATTCAGGGGTATCATTTAAAAGCTACATTGTACCGTACATCTTTAAACATGCACTATGCATGACAAACTTGTCAAACAGTAAAGTATGACTATGACAGTAATTATAGTGGTGGATCGTCAGAATTGACTTCATTGTGCTACATTCAAAGAACTTTACAATCGATACTAACAATCGACTTTTCAAGAACTTTTTACTACTTATATTAATTAAGTTCTTGGAAAATCCAGTTGAAATAAAATATTCATAGCTGGCAGTTATAGGCAAAAAATAAAAAATAAATTATTGAATTTCGAAACAGATAATGAAGAAGAATCTCCGATCTCCTCCGAACTAGTAGCCGAATGTATTAGAAGAGGTCGCGAACTTTCCCGAGCGGCTACCCGACGAAACAACGAGTTGGTTGGAAATGGCGTCAGTCTGGAAGACTCCTCGCCTGCAATGCTTCACTTTTTCTCCGCCAAATTACCTTCGGATGTCAGGAAAGCGTCTGATGTTTCTCATGAGATTATTTCTGCTACAAAGCTGCTGCAGATGAAAATGTGTTCTGGGTATATCGTAACTTTCCTTAAGATATTATACTTATATCACTTTAAAAGTGTGATTTAGAAGAAATATAATTTATGAATCTTTGATAGTCTTCACCCCACTGCCCTGCTGCAGTTTTATAAGTATTGTTTTGAACACTAAACCACTTCTGAAAACCACGTCAATTTGGATCGTCTTTCCTATTATTCAATATCATCATTCTCCAATCAGCAGTGTAACACCAAACTCATTTGTATCGTTCTTGGAGCACCAGGGAATTCGGATAAAGGACGCAACGTATTGCCACCAAGTGAAGGTATGCTGCAGCAGCAGCAACAAGTACAGGATTATTGATGGTACATGCAATAATAAGGACCATCCTGAATGGGGCAGGAGAGGAGCACCATTCACCAGGATCGCAACACCGCGGTATGCTGATGGTGGGTGTGAAGTTGTCTACTAATATACAGCAGATTATGTACAGTCAAAGGTCAAAAGTCCACTGCCACCTTGAATAATTTTCACACGGCAATGCATCAGTAATTTCATATTAATGTGCATAAAAACGCGTGTGTACGCATAAACACACGCACGCGTACGCACACGGATAAAAATATGCGTGTGCATGTGTTTATAAGCGCTGCAGTGTTACCGATAGTAGCCTTACAGTGGCAGTGGACTTTGACCTTTGACCGTACATTTGGCGCCACAACTTAGTATATGAAACAGCCCTAAACCGTTATTCTTCTTTTCTTCTACGCAATACTTTCCAGGAATATACGCGATGCCAGTGGCAAAGAGTGGCCATCAACTCCCTAATCCTCGCGTCCTTTCCACGAGACTGTTCCAAGACCAGCCCATCGGAAGCCGTGTGCTCAACAATATGAACATGCAATGGGGGCAGTTCGTTACACATGACTTGGTGTTCCAAGTTATGGAAGTCACTGGTAACATGGTCATGATATTTCTCCCCCTTCTTCTACTTATTACAATAGTATCCAGTTTAGTTGGACTGTTGTCAGAAAATATGATGGCCATGTGGCATACCCAGTCCGCCTTTAGTGGAATAAATAAGGTCTTCTTAAGGCTCTGAATTTTCTTACATAGGCTTTGAATTTGTGATAATTAGAATATCTACAATTTTAGATAGGTAGGTGAGAGACTCTAGTCACATTAATGTGCTTTCTTCTTGTTATTTTTGTCGTAGTTGTTAATAAAATGGCTTCCACATTCAGCTCAATGCTTTCATAATTCTTTTCTCTCAGACAAAGGTGGCATCCAATGTTGCTTAGGCGAAGGCAAAGGTATACTTCCTTCAGAATGGCTGAATGATAAATGTATTCCTATATCGGTGCCTGATGATGACCAGTTTTATAGATGCCATGGTATTAAATGTTTAAACTTCGTTCGAAGCGTTACCACTCCCAGAGACGATTGCAGTTTGGGACATGCTGAACAGGTAAGTAGAAAGATTTTACTTGTTGAAAAAAACCTAAGCTTTTCACTTAGGCATTGCGCTTAGGTTTTAGGTATTAGGAAATATATTTTCCGCTGCTATAATGTCCTTCAATCAATTTTTCTACTACCATTTTCATGATGAATGTTCACAATTAGCATTCAATAATAAACTTGTGGTTTCCAATCAGCTGTTCAGTAATTGATTTAATTTAGGTACCGTACTTTATCTAATTTTTTGCAGTTCCTCAACAGTAATTGTGTACTTACTAAGTTTTTTTTATCAATCAGTCTGCATCTATTTTTATAGTTAATCAAGACCGCCTGCAATCTGCAAGGCTGCCTTGAAATTTATTTTTAACTCTTTGTATTATTAAATACTAATTTACCGGTCTCAATTAAACTGATTACTTTTAAGATGAACACAGTGACCAGTTATTTAGACGGATCGCCAATCTACGGTAGCGATAAGAAGCTCGCGTCAAAGCTACGGAGTTGGATAGGTGGACGACTGCGCCAGGAGTCACGGAAAGACTGTCTTCGGGGTTTCTTACCCAGTGTCAGTGACAAATTCGCAGTATGTGACTTAAGGAACTCATCTGAACCCTGCTATTTGGCTGGTAATATCAAAACTTGTCTTCTTACTATGTTTTCAACCAATGGAAAAATCTGATATAGGTGTTTTAAAATGGGGATACAGAAAGATAGATTCAATATCAAATAAAACGAGTAACTTGTTAAAACTTTTCTGAATGACTTATGATTAAATCACTTAAATAAGGTATTCGCAAAATTGAGGCGATTAAAAAATAACGCACAATAAAAAACAAACAATCAAACAACAGATAAATCTAATAAAATGCCCAACCTCTTCATCATAATCTCAAAATATTCCCAGACTATTCAATTCCATTCATGGACAACTTTCATGGCTATCCATTATAATGCTTCCAGGTGACACCAGAATTAATCAGACACCGACCTTGGCCATGCTTCACACTTTACTACTAAGGGAACACAATCGGGTAGCAGATACCCTAAGTGACCTGAACCCTCTATGGAGCGATGAGAAGCTATACCAGGAAGCAAGGAGGATTGTCATAGCTGAGATACAGCATATCACGTACCAGGAGTGGTTGCCTGCTAACTTTGGTGAGGAAAGCATATTGTAATGGTAGAACACGAACAATTTTGGAGGTTTCTCTCTGTAGTAATTGACGGTAGAATCTTAGTTGAGGACTATGTCTTAGTCGCTTAGTCGCCAGAGAAGAATGCCATAGAACAGAACTAGGAATTACTAAATTATAGTTTAGTTTAAGGGTACTCAACTATTTGATAGTTGAAGTATCACGATGAAAGCATTTCGTTTACGACAGCCGTTTACGAGAAACTCAGTAATCAATAATATTTTTCATATGACGTACATTTACCAAGAAAATCTAAAACAAATGAAACTATATTTCTAATTTTCCAGGGGAATACTACCTCCGCTACTATGGGATATCGCCATCAACGCTGTATACTCGAGATTACAGTCCCGAAGTGAACCCTGGTATCATCAACAGTTTCGGAGCGGCAGCCTTCAGGTTCCTGCACACCGTCATCAGCGATAACATTATGACGTGTCCTAACAGTTACAATGCTGCTTACTTGTACAAGTAAATATAATTATTATATTTTTTTATTTATTTATTTATTTATTCTTTAATGTACATAATTTTTTTATGGTACATAAGGCGAACTTAATGCCATATGGCATTCTCTACCAGTCAACCTTAGGGTTTAAGTGGAAAATCTGCGAAAACTGAGGTACGGAGAATAAACTAACAACAAAGAGAGAGAGAGAGAGAGAGAGAGAGAGAGGAAAAAATAATGGTAATTATTAAATAATATAGTTATACATATATATTACATAATAGTAAATAGTATATATAGTCATATGCATAAAATATATAGGTATAAATACATACATAAATATATATCGACGAAGACCTAGATCTAGCGTTGCAGCGATTTTAAATAAAATTCATGAACTTGGTGTTTGAAGGAGATTTTATTAGGAGCTTTTTTGATATTGAGGGGGAGCGCATTCCAAAGTTTGATGACACTTATTGTAAAAGAATTAGAAATAAAAGAGGTCCGGTGGGAAGGTATCTCAAGAAGCAAGTTGTCCATCGAGCGGAGGTTACGGTTGTGGCAACTGCCTAATAGCTGGAAGCAGGATTTTAAGTAATCTGGAGCACAAGGATCATTAAGTATAGAGAAGAGCATGCAGAGGGATCTGAGGGATCTCCTCTCACGGACAGGAAGCCATTTAAGCTGAGCGCGAAAGGAAGAGATGTGGTCGTATTTACGAAGACCGAAGATAAAGCGGATACAGTTATTGAGCATTCGATCCAATTTGTTAAGAAGGTCTTGGGATAGATCGGAGTAACAAACATCAGCATAATCAACAACAGGAAGCACAAGGGACCGGACAAGCAGAATCTTGATATTTGGTGGCAGAAAGTTCTTGAACCTGTAGAGAGATCGTAGCGTGCCAGTCACCTTCCGGCCAATCTGAGCAACCTGATAGTTCCAGTTGAGCCCGCTGTCCAGATACAAACCTAGATCCTTTACGTGAGGAGACAACGGTATGGTGGTTTGATTAAAAGTTATCGTATCAAGCTGATTGACATTTAGGCTATTCAAGTAATAGGAGCTACCTAAGATGAGGGCTTGACATTTGCCTACATTCACTGCAATCCCATACCTCCTTGACCAGTCTTCAATCGCAAGCAAGTCAGTGTTGAGATGTTCTATGCAAGTGTTCAAGTTAGCGATATCAGCCTGAGCGTATAGTTGTAGGTCATCGGCGTAAAGATGATAAGAGCATTTGAGGAGACTAGTGATAGAATTTATGAATAGAGAGAACAACAAAGGAGAGAGTATACCGCCTTGTGGTACACCAGCTGTTAGCCCGCCCCAGTCGGAGAATTCCTGACCAACGCGTACCGCCTGCTGGCGACCACGAAGATAAGTAGAGAACCAATCCCGCGATGACGTCGAGAACCCAATCTGAGTTAGAACGGCCAAGAGAATATCGTAGTCAACCGTGTTAAAAGCGTTGGAGAAATCGATTAAAACCAACACAGTTAACCTCGAACCCTCCATGCCATGTCTTACATCCTCTGTGACCTTCAGCAGGGCAGTGGATGTGCTGTGGCCGGGCCGAAAACCTGATTGGAAGGGAGACAGCAGTTTATGTTTAAATATGTAAGAGGACGTTTGTTTATGAACAACTGCTTCGAGGATCTTGGACAGGTAAGGAAGGATAGAAATGGGTCTGTAATGGTTGGGCTGACAAGGATTGGAGGTTTTTGGGAGTGGAATTATGTATGCTTTTTGCCACGATGACGGGAATACACCGTAAAAAATAGAAAAATTAATTATGTGAGTGAAATGGGGAAGGAAGTGCTCAAATATTAAGGACACCATGGTTCGACCCATCCCATCAGAGCCCACTGCCCTGGATTTGATTGATGCAAAAGCTCTTTGGATCTCGAGGTCAGTCACGGGACTAAATGAAAAAGTGTTAGGAGGTAATATAGGCCTGGAAGTTATCTCAGAAATAGTTTTGTGTTTGACTACGTCTGTGAGACCCGTAGATGCAGCGAAATGCGAGTTGAGACTGTTGAGGGACAAGTTTGGTGATAAAACACTTGTTGAAGTCTCACAAACGCCCAGAGTTTTTAAGAACTTCCATATATCAGCCTGCGAAGAGTTTTGAACATTATCAAAAATGTATCGGCGTTTGGCAGCTCTCACCATCTGGTTACACCGATTTCTCGCTGTCTTATACTGACTCCAGTTTTCCTGGCTACGATCTCTCCTAAACCTACAAAACGCCTTGTTGCGGCGCCTCATAGCCATCCGGACACCCGGGGTTATCCACGGAGCCGGAGGACGTCGGAGACGGACTGCCTTCAGAGGAGCGTGAGAATCCACAAGTCTCAAGACGGTTTTATTGAAGAAATCCACTTTCTCATCTATAGAAGTCGATTGATATAAGTTTGTCCAGTCAATGGATTGTGCCTCGCTGGCAAGTTTGGTTTTGTCTATACCCGCAAAGTTACGAAGAAACACGACGGCAGGACGCTGCTTAGGTGGCTTAATCTTATATGACAGGTAGATCAAGTCATGTCTAGATAACCCTGGCGTCGCGATCTGACCATGATTAACGACCAGCTCCGGGGAGGACACGAGCATGAGGTCAATCCAAGAGTCATCAGAATCAACATTACAGTGGGTTGGGTTTAGTGGGAGAACTGAAATATTCGATGATTCAAGGATCGACCCCAGGCCACGTGACCTCGGGGTAGACCGAGTGAGATCAGTGTTAAAATCTCCCATGATAATGTGATGCTTGTACTCCGAGGAAAAAGAGTCAAAAAGGGTTTCTAGTTGAGAGAAATAGTTGATGGCAGGGGGGCAGTAGATAACGCCCAGAACAGCTTTAACTCCTCTGATATCGACCTCAAGGAACAGGCTTTCCGGACTACCGCTGTAAAGAGAGGGAGAAGAAGAAATAATTTTATAAGCGATACCGCCACGTAAAAAGATAGCAACACCACCGCCTCGTTTTCCCGTGCGATCATTCCGAACTAGTATAAATCCAGGTAAGCTGAATGAGGTGGAAAGAAGTTCGGGCTTAAGCCAGCTTTCAGAGATCAGTATTGCATGGAACAACGTGTCTGAAAACATATCCAACAACTCAGAGTGGTGTTGAGGAACACTTTGGGCGTTAACATGGCATACGTTAAAACAATTCGGGAAACGCCGACATTCATTATTTAAAAATTGGTTAGTAGTGAAGCTATCGTCAAAGGAAGAAAAGGAATCAATTGAACTGCTGCAAGCCGAACGAAAAGAGTCCTCGCCAGACATAAAAATAATAAAATACTTATATAATACCTAAAATATATACAATATATATATGGATTGTGATTAAGGTAGGCTTTAGTGACTAATGAGATGCAGAAACCCGCCGGTTGACTATAACAACCAAAAATACTCAAGTCGTCCAAAAAGACTAGAAGCCAAAAAAAAAAAAACTAATTTATGAATCTGTCACTGACAGTTGACACTATTGGCATTGGCAGATATTGTAATGTCATCCGTCGCAAAACAACAACACCCTCATTATACAAACTTATGACGGTACGACAATAAAAACTAATTTTTCCTATCATAAAATACAAAGGGGATAAAAACAAAGATTAATATAAAGAACAGTAAAGTGATAATGCAGACACATCGAGAAGGTGGACTAAATCTACTTCTTGGGAGCATTTCGTCTCGATCGGGACGGAGCATGCGCCGGCGACGACACTGTAGTCTTTTTCAAGGTGGACTTTGCACTTGAAGGAGGTTGGACTTCCATCGATTTACCATGCTCCGCGCCCAACTCCACCGCCTCCTCATAACTGAAAATACGCCGCTTCTTACCATCTGGCAGTTTGACGTTGATGTTCCCGTCCATCGTCCACACACTCGTTACACCGAATAATTTACGAGCCGCAGCGAAAGCCAACTGACGGTGACGCGTCAAAAATTCCGACAGCACATACGAGGTTCCCTTCAGTCTCGTTTTGGCCTTCCAGACCAGGCTCTTTAATGTGGGATCCTTGAAACGCAACAAGATAGGTCGAGGCCGTCCGTCGGAAGCTACACCCAGTCTGTGGCAGACCCGAAGTGAGGACGGTGTAATGTCTGGCAGCTCTAATTGCTTCCCGAGGATGGTAGCCACAACATTGTCTGCCCTTTCCTCTGCCTTCTCCGGGATGCCACCAAGCAAAAGAAATTTTCTACGGTGCCTCATCTCTATGACGTCGTAATTCCTGCTCACTTCCGTGATTTGGGTCTGCAGCGTAGCAAGGACGTCCCAGACATGCTCCTTGAAAGCGTTGTAATCACGCTTAAGACCGCTCAAGTCTTCTCCGGGAGATGACGCCTTCAAGTGGGCCTCAAACGCCGCCATCCGCTGACTCAGTGAAGCAACTGCCACACGATGTGTTTCTGCGAGGCTGTCCATTGTGGTCAGTGGGTTTTGTTCTCACAAAAACTGTTAACGCACCAGTCTTCAAAGTTTAAAGTTATATGTCACCGGCAAGTAAATGCAATTCTCAGTAACTTTAAGTCATAGGTACTGAGTTGCCCACACAATATATATTTACAAAAATGACACTGTATTGATATTGATGTAAATATTAAATATATGTTAAATTAAACTAATAAATATTGAATTTAAATACAGAGCACATAAATTATATCTAAACCAACCACTAAAGAGAGAGGGAAATTGTCGCCTTTTAGCTTACAAGAACAAAGTAACATAACGTCACGCCTTTTATCCCCGGAGGGGTAGGCAGAGGTGTACATTATGCCACTGCACAATGTAACACCCACTTTTCACTATTTATGTTATGAGTGTAATAGGGGGTAAGCCTATTGATATATACCGGGCACAATTCCAGAGTCCATGCCACTACTTTTAAAACCTAGTAATACTTTGCCCGACCCCGGAATCGAACCCTTTACCTGGCAGTCGCACTTGCGACCACTCGGCAAACGAGGCAGAACTAAATACTGATTTGAAAATATCATTATAGAACGTAGCTAACTTCTTTTAGCTGCAGACATATTACCAAAAAGGTATCGAAACGTAACGGTATTGATTAGTGATTAACCCAGGATTTCAAATAACAAACTATTAGTAATAACCAAATATGACTTTCCAGATTAAGCGACCATTACTTCAACCCAAGTCTTCTGGAATCTTCTCCAGATTCATTTGACAACATTGTACGCGGCATCATAGCGCAGAATGCAGGAGAATCAGATCCTTACTGTTCAGGGGAGATCACCAATTTGCTGTTCAAGTCCCATAATAGATGGGGTATGGACCTCATAGCCATGGACATACAACGGGGCAGGGACCATGGGATCGCGTCATACAATGACTTTAGGTAAGAGGCACTTTTTGGATTATATGGAAAAAGAAGAAGGGTGCTCAATGCTTTTAATTTCAGGGAAATCTGCGGGTTACCCAGAGCAAGATGCTTCCAAGATTTATCGAATGAGATGTCACAAGACGTAAGTAAATAATGTTTTTTATTCATTAATTCGTCTTCTGCAAAGGCCCTTCAAAAAATCTCTTCCGTTATTTTAGCGCATAAACGCTCTTCAGCATCTATACGAGTGCGTGGACGACATAGATCTGTTCGTGGGTGGTGCCATGGAACAAGACGTGTATGGTTCCATCTTGGGACATACCTTCCAGTGCATAGTGGCTGAACAGTTCTACAGGACTAGAATATCTGACCGGTACTTCTATGATAACGGAGAGATGCCGCATTCTTTCACTAGTGGTAAGTACGAGGTGTTCTAGACTTTAAGAGGAATATGTAAGGTTTTAATGAGGATAATTGTTCTATGTTACATTATATTTGTTTAAATGAGGCGTAGTCGTCTTCGACACGGCAGTCGAAAGCAAGCCATACTTATCCAAATAATTATTATCATTCAAAAAGCTAGTTTGAAACAAGTAGCACAAAATTATGTGTAATATGATATTATTTTTTCTAAAATAGTTTATCCTCACACCTTTGTCTTAGATAAAAAATATTAAATAACTTTTGCACATTTCAGATCAACTAAAAGAACTAAAGAAGGCATCAATGGCTCGTTTAATCTGCGACAATACGGACAGTGTGTACTATGTACAGAAGAAAGCATTTGAAGTGGAATCTACTTACAATCCCAAGTACAGATGTGATGATTATAATGCTATACCATATGTAGATCTTACTGCTTGGAAACAACCCTCCATCTTTGATTAATTAAATAGATACATGCGCAAAACTTGCGCAAGTTGTTGGAGATTTGCGCTACCGGTTTGCGCAATTGCGCTAATGATTTGCGCAGAGTTGCGTGGAAGGTTTACACAGAGTTGCATTATCGATTTGCGCAGACTTGTGCTAAAGGGCGAACCTTTGTAGACTTGCGCATTGTCATCTCTTTTAACTATTAATATCCACTCTTACAACTATTATATTATAGAAATAATTATACATTACTTATCAATATTGAAGTTAAATGCAGCATTGTTATGCATATGTTATAAGTTAGTAAAATAAGTATATCAAAATATATTTTGTGATCAATTAAAAAGACTACAAATATATTTGAAACGTTTAATAAAATAAGAAAACAAGTTATAACGTGTCATGTACATATTATTTTTAAACCTTATACTTATAGTAACAGATAGTAGATTTATTCGATATAGATAAAGTATCACAATTTAATATTTTAGCTACACATTGACAATGGTTATTTACCCGACTGAATTAGAAATGGGTTAAATGTATACATAATGTTTTTTATGGGATAAGCCGGTTTATCAGCGCCTCCCATGGACATCTGTAACACCAGAGGCGTTACAAGTGCGTTACCGGCCTTTTGGGAATTGGGTATTTGAGGATTGTGGAGGATTGGGGATTTAGGAGATTGGGGGGTATTTGAGAATTGGGCCTCCGTTAACCTCACTCACGCGATAAAACACGCAAGCGATGTTTCACGTCGCTTTTCTGGTTAACTCCTAAAGGAGTTCAAGTTCTAGTTCTAGTTCTAGTATATCACATATCTATTCATGTATAAGCTGTAAACAGCTGTAAACAACTGTAAAAAGGTTTATACATACATAGATTATATCATAGGTGTGCGATGATCTTCACAAGCTACAGGATGATTGATATTCAACATACATGAAGTGTTTTTAGATTAATCTTATTACTTAAATAGATATTGTGTCTATTGATACTAAATATGAAAGTCAATGGCAATAAAGACCATTTTAAAGTACAATTTTATTTTAAGACATTTTTTAAAACATGACTTAATGTAAAATATTAACATTATTGCACTACAAACATTTAGATATATTTTGGCAGGATAATCAACAACCTTTACTTAAGTCTGATTAGCAGACTTGTTTAGTTTATAAAAATTAAAGTATAATTTCGCGTAACTCTTAAATAAGTTCTAGTCGTATTTAGTTCTATGTAAAGGACATGTAGGGATGTTACTTCTAATTTGTTGAAATGGTTTCCAACATACTATTATTTATTCATATGTTATTCTTTGAGAGAACCTGAAGTGTGTAATTCAGGCCATGGTGCTTTTAGAGCACTATCACTTTGTCATTAAAACATCACTATTTGCAGGTTAAGTAACTATTTGTAGATTCACTTGTCCATTTAGTTCACTTTTCCATTTTTAGGGTTCAGCTCTGTGAACTATTGTACTCAAATGAAAACAATTTAGTTTAGACCTAGGAATATGGCCACAAAAATCAGCTTTAATACAATCAGTCGATTTTGGAATGTTCATTTTGTTATTTGCCTTAACAAAACTATGATGACGGCAGAATACAATTACACATAACATCATCCCCGAAGGGATGGCTACCCTTTGGCTAGAGGTGCACATTACGGCACTTAATGCCACTGTACAACAATTTCACTATTGATGTTATGAGTCTCATGTAATAGGGGGTGAGCCTATTGCCATATACCGGGCACGTTTGCAGACTCTGTGCTACTACTGAGATTTTTTTTTAAACCCAGTAATGCTTTTCCCGACCCTGGAATCGAACTCGGACCCCTTGACCCCGCACTTGCGAACACTCGGCCAATGAGTAGGTTACCGACATATAATTATTTTTATTATTATTTGACATTGATACTTTACAAAGTCAAATCAACAAACCAGAAGTGACATCTACAATACTAATACCTCTACATACAACTAAATTACACTACACTGCACTGCTTCATCTATTCTAAACAATTCTACATTTTCAACTCTATAACCGGTACAAATACGGTCTATTTTACTATATCAACAAATTCCGGTTACCCTGTTTATCCTTACCGAGGAAATTGTTGATCTTGTTCTGGAAAGTATTCCACGTGACAGAAGTGTTCACAATCTGCGAAAGACCGGCTGGCTTCACCATTCTTTCGAAGAACGGTCTTTTGTAGAGCCTTTGAGCCTCCAGTCTCTGGTCTTCTGTCACTCTACGGTCGTCCAAGTGGTTTAGAGACGGGAATTGTGATATTACAAAGAGCCTGGAATGGACAATGATTTTTGTTTATATGCTGTAGCAATTTTATCTAAATTAGTAAATAGTTTTATAGATTTCGACTTTATTTTCCAAAGAATAAGGTTGAAAATTTATTGAATAAATTAATGAGTTAGCCAATTTGGCGATATCAATGCCGGGACTAAATCTGTTCAACTCTTGGTTAAATAGTGCTTGTATTAAGACATAATTTTAAACTATATCATATGACATATAACTTACTATAATAATAACATAGCGACGGATAAAACCTTATATTTTAAGGATTTAACTCGTCGAGCACCGTCATTATAGACACAATTAAAGAACAATAGGTTGCGGTCACCGGTGACCGCTTGGTGTTTGACAGTTTAAATAATGTTCCTTACCTGTATTGTAGGTATTCGTAGAAAGTGCCGCCATTGAAATAACTGGGTGCAGCGGGGTTACCCATCAGAGAAAGGTACTGCAGGTTAGGACACGACTCCTTCAGCTTACCCACCCATGGGTAGAGCGACGCTATCTTACAACGATTCAACCTGCAGAAAGAAAAAAAAAATTTAACTTAGCAACACCTTCCAATATGGCGGATGGTTTGGTACACTTGAATTTGAACTCTATTTCTTTTTCGTAAGGTCTAATTTTTTTGTTCGATATTGAGATCTTTATGGACAAAACAAATGTCAATGTTCACAGATTGTTACATTTCAATAGCATCTTTATTTTCATTGCATTAGTTTGAATTTCGTTTAACTAACAAATTGACACAAAAACAATTATGAATAGAGAGATTATATGAAAACATTACACTTTTAAGACTATCATACAGATTATCTAGACTTACTTGTAAACTATATTAGCCTTGTCCCACAAATTAGATAACAGAATATATAAATAACATCAAGGATAGCAATAAACAACTAAAATGCATTTATAAATATTATTGTTCAGTGATTGGGTAGTTTCCATGGTATTCAAATTAAAAATGTATTTAGTCCGTCAGTTAGATAATGAATTGTAAAGTAGCATGATGTGATGTGCACCTCTGCCTACCCCTTCGGGGATAAAAGGCGTGATGTTATGTTAGATAATGAAAAAATATTAGACACGTATTTTTTTATTTTTCTCGTATTAAGTTGTAATATTTAGATAAAATGTCGCTAAGTTTAGAAATGGGAGGTCGTATGCCATAACGTGATACAAAATGTGGCACGCTGTGACCTCACACGATATTTCAAATTAATATATCGTCGAAAGTATTTAATTTTGTGAGAAGAAAAAATACGTGTCTATAGTTTTTAATTGATGTACCAGACAGACATTAAAATAAAATTTAGGAAACTACCCTATTATAATTAAAAATTATACGCGCCTTTTATTAACCCAAGGAGGAAGCAGAATACTAAATACTCCCGCGGTTTCACCTTCTGCTTGGCTACTATTTATTGCAGTTCAAAGTTACATAGCCTTCTTCGATAAATCCGGAATAAAAATAATTATTCAATAAGAACCAGTGGTTCTGGAAATTAGGACATTAAAAAAAAATCTTTATTATATCAACATGTTAAAGCCATGGGGGTCACCGGTGACCAACGTTAGCCGAGGACTTATCTTCAGCAGTTTTTAGCAGTCGAAGCCATAAATAGAATATAATATTAAGTAAGTATAGTATTTTTACTCACCACAGCAGTTCTAATTTGGGCAGTGGAGGTAAGTAGCAGTTCTCAGTGATGGGATTATCATCAGCTATCAGTGAGGTGAGGCTCTTGAAGTACACTAGGGCATCAAGATTTCTGGAAACGAGAAATTCAGATCATCATATTCTTCATATTCAATTATTGTGCGCATGTATCTTGACTTTGATTAATCTACATTCATAGCTATTGTCATTTGGAATCCCATTGTCTCTGCCCATCCCAATAAGAGAAGATAGGTGAGATGATAAAGTATTAATGTAAATGATTGTGTAGTTAATAATATTTTTTTAATGGGATAAACTGGCAAACGAAAATATGTATCACCTGATGGTAGCAATCAGCATCACCCATGTACATCTGGAATACCAGAGGCGTTACAAGTGCGTTACCAGCCTTTTGGGATTGGGAATTTGAGGATAGTTGGGGATTCAGGGGTTGAGAATGGTGCAGAGGTGTAATTGGGTTGTATGATGGACCTATAATGGAACTGTAAATGTTTTTTTTTAATTACCTAAGATCCTCTCTGTGGGCGACATAGCTTAAGGGCCACATTTGATAGGGACGGGGCAGCAGTACTCACTATTAAAGCTGAACCTATTAAAGAGTAGGGATTATAACAAACCCCTCTTATGTATAGGAGGCCCATACCCATAGCGCAACAATGCACTGTTATATGTATGTTGACAAATATTTAAGTATTAAAACTTACGTGATCTTATTATGACTAATATCCAGGTACTTGATGTGGTCGGAAAACCTCTCCACAATAGTTTTTGGTATTTCATAGAGCCTCTCATAAGCTAGGGTTAATCTTCCATTCTCTTCCTCATTGTCTGTGGTCGTGCCCACAGATCTGAAATATTTCATAAGTATTGAATTGTTTTTTATTGAAGATAAAAATCATATCTGCCTGTCTGGATACTGGATAGTTATTCAGTCACATAAATATAGATTTTTTATTGAAAAAGAGTTGAATTAGACAAAAAAATTTCAAACATTATTACCTATTGTTCTTTAATTGTGTCTATAATGACGGTACTCCACGAATTAAAGAAGGTTGAAGTATAAACGGATTATAACTAAGTACCTAGCTAGAGAGGTGTATCAAAGTTTTTTATTGTTACTGGTCAAAGATGGACTATCATTTTATTGCACACTGCCACCCTTATCATAATTAACGTTTTTTACAAAATGGAACACCAAAACAAAATCACTTTTATCAAGTGCATTGTTGATGATATTGATTGTTAAACAGCCCTTTTAATACTCACGCAATAATATCAGGCGGTATGGGTGTCTCAGACATGTCGGTCATAGAGTCAACTAGAGCGTCTCTGGAGACATCCACTGATATCACACCTTCATCAGGAGCAGGTTGCACACTGGGGTAACTGAAGTAAAAATACACAATACATAATTGGCACAATACATCGATTTAAATAAGTGCGAAGATTAAATACTTAGTTCAAATTTGAATTTAGATTTAGAATAGAATGCAGGGTGACCGTGTATGTAGAATTGTGCATTTGTTTAGAATAATTAATATGACAAATAACATATTTTTAAAATTAAATATTTTTGAATATAATTAAAGTTACAAAAAGTTTTTAGAATGGGGACCTTGGAATCACTACATTTTTAAAGGTCAAAATAGTTTAATCAAAGCTTTCTGCTTATTTAAATATTTACCTATTTTAATAATGTTCTAATCCATTACTGTGCCTTCACTTCAGTTTATTTAGCTGTTTTTGATTAATTTAGCACAAATCAAGACAAATCTCACTGAGTAGCTACTTATGTCAGACAGGTAAAACGGTGTTTCCTTCATCAAAAATCTACCTTTGTTCATGGTAGTTTTAATCTACCAAATTTTTAAAAACAATAAAAAAATTATGTCGTTCTTTTATTTTGATAGAAGTCTTAGAATTTATTGTTAATTAAAAGCCGAGGCAAGGAGAGATGATAAAATGATACTAATCAACATAATGCCGAACTAATCAAAGTCATGCGTATCTATACATACCTATTTACAAATGATTGATCATCATCCATTTTGTATGATAGAATTTATAGAATAATAAGAGATTAACACACAAACCGAAATTTTTAAATTATTTTCCACTCATTTTAATTGAATTTAACACAATTACACAATATCAGAACAATAAATAAAGTAGGTAACTGTTTAATGCGTCCATGTGCGCGGTTATCTATCGACTCCGTATACCAATAGCAGAGACAGTGATAAGCAAATAGTTTATTTGTATAAAGCCATATAGGTAGGTACATTGATAAGACCTCGAGGTTCGACACTTGATAATACATTTGACTGTGTATAATTACAATATACTAGTCATTCTACTGAATGGATAGAATAGTACGTACTACGTATCAATGTTGTAGGTAAAAGAAGCGTAAGAGTTTATTTATTATCTGGATCTGGATAAATACCTACTTAGCTGAGCGATGATCAAGAAGTTTGTGCAGATTAGGATGTGTGAAGGAGACAGATCTTCCTTTTTTTTAAATCAATATTGATCTTATTTAAAACATACTGTTTTCTACCGCCACCGGCGATAGATGAATGTTTTTGAGGATTTAAAGTAGAAATACGACTTTTACAAGGCCTACGGATGCGTTAAAAGTATAGTACTTGAAATCTGTCCCACTACTAGATATAGGTTTCTTTTCATACGGAGAATATAAGAAGATATTGGTTGGCGAATATCAGTTATATATTTTTTATGTTTCATGTACCTTCATGCAAGTGGCAAAAACTGCATTGTGACTTGCCTGGACTCGAATTCACATTCTCTTGTTTGAGTGGCGGGTACTTCTGAGATGCGACGGCAAGTAACACTGCGCATTCTTTAAAAGAAAGACTCAAAAACACCTATAATACAACCAAAAGTTGTATGGCGTCACCATTGAAATAAAATGTGCATCATTTTATTTTTTCGGTAGCACATTTACCTAATGTGAGCGTGAATGTAAACACGTTCCAATACGTAGTAAGACCCCACACGGGTTCGTTACCTATTTTACGATGTCTCTTGCAACGTTGGACTGCGTCTCGGTGCCTATCGCGAAGTCTTGGCTTCTTCCTGTACCTACTGTCGAGTCGCGTCTCGGTGTGAGCTGACTCTTAAGTTCTCATTCGCCATCGTTTCGAGATTGTGTTGGATCCTTAAACACTCTCAATATAATTGAAACTAGTGGTCGCAAGTGCGAGTGCCGGGTAAGGGGTCTCGGGTTCGATTCCCGGGTCGGGCAAAGTACTACCTCAGCGGTAGCACGGAGTCTAGAATTGTGCCCGGTACATGGTAATAGGCTCAACCCTTATTACATGGGACTCATAGCATAAATAGTAAAATAGGAGTGTTACATTGTACAGTAGCATTAAATGCCGTTATGTGCACCTCTGCCTACCCCTTCGGAGATAAAAGGCGTGATGTTATATAATGTTACGAAACTATTTTTTTTTATTAAATGGCAATGGATGCTTTCGCCTATCAAACAAACAGAACGGGAATCTGGAATGGAAAATAACATTAATTGAATATGGTAGCTTTATAATTTACGATAAAGGTAACATTTCCATTAAAACGTCATGTGTCGTCAGACACGTCATAACAACAACAGCTGGTGTTGGCCAAAATAAATTCGTGTAAAAATTGTATTTCAGTTCTGTGTTAAATAAATAAAAAGTAAAAAAATAAAACATGGACGTAAGTAATTTTATCATTAGTCGTAAGTATGAAATGACGGGAAAAAGTTATACATAATTTAATTCATAACCTGTTTTAGGAGAGTAATATTCCAATAGACATTAATATTGGTAAATTACAAGATTGGTTGGTTAGTCGTCGGCATGTGAGTAAGGAATGGCAGAAGGGTGTCCCAGCTGTGAGGGAGAAGATCAACAATGCGTTGCAGGACATGCCCAAACATGATGACATAGCTAGCCTGCTGGCTGGCAGCTACATCAACTATTTCCATTGCTTAAAAATCATTGAAATCTTGAAAGAAACTGAGGCAGACAGTAAAAACCTCTTTGGAAGGTAATAATACACAATTTAGCTTTACATTCTGTTTTAAATTTAGAAAAAGTTAAAGTAGAAATAAGTTACAAAATGCCAGCACCTATTTATTACCTGTTTCCTATTGGAAGTATTTTATTCACAAATAGTTATTGAAATACAATTTTATCAGATAAGTCTTATTATTTCTCACTCACTCTTGACATTATAATCAGTAAAGAATGAATTATGTTATTTTACATAAATACCTATAAATAAATTTATTTACCTTGACACATTTACATGATTATAGTTCTAACATTGCTATGAATATGATTATAGGTATGGATCACAAAGGATGAAGGACTGGCAGGATATAGCCCGCAACTATGAGAGAGACAACCTGTACTTAGCCGAGGCAGCACAAATCTTAGTGAGGAACATTAACTATGAGATACCGGGACTTAAGAAACAGATTTCTAAAGAAGAACAGTTGCAAGTTGTAAGTGATTAAGAATCAAAATTTTTAAGTGTGGGAGAGCCATGCTTCGGCGCTAATGGGTCGACTTGACCGGAGTGATACCACCGCAAACAGACATGCATTGAGTTTTGTCAAATAAGTGAGGTTACCTGAGGAGGTCCAATTACTGCCCTCCCCAATCTCCCTGAATACCCTATGAATCCTAAAGTTTTAAATCCCCTAATGGCTTGTAATGCACTTGTAATGCCTCTAGTGTTGTCCATGGGCATGTCGTTTACCAGCTTATGCCATTTTATTTTTTCTTTATTGGGTTGTAGGTAGGTTGTTCGTTTGTAAAAGCTCATATTGGCAAACGGAGATTCTAATAATATTCTTATAGAGAAAACTTTATGAAAAACTTCATTGTTGCTCCATTACAATAAATATTGCTTAGTTTTTTATTGCTATCTATTATTTATAGTGTTTACCTGTGGCAACACTCCCTAACCATAGTATGTATATATTTCTATCTCTAATCTTAGTGGTCATAATTGTTGTTGCGACTGGACTGTGAGATAGACATATGTTTCTTTGGAATGGCTGGTGGTTTCATAGCTACATTTTTGTATGTCTATATCTATATATGTGGCTCAATGTTTTTAGACATTTGGTAATGAAGATTACTTCTCTATAGGTTTAACTCAATGGTTGATTGTGTTTTAGTATTTAATGCCCAATAAAGGTTCATTGTTAAGCAATGATTTAAAATAATTCAAAGCTGTAGGATATTTAAAGAAATCAGTTTTGTGAGATTGAGTTTAGAATTCTCTCATATTTTAATTGATTTTTGTACTTCTATGTGCCATGTGCTATTTTCATAGTTAAAGTGTAACTGATACTTAAAACTATTATTTACAGGAATGTGAGAAGAAGCACTCAGATTTTCTAAAGAATGAAGCTTCCAGTAAGACAGAGTTCTTGACTCTTTGCAAACAGCTTGGTATTCAAGGAGAGAGAATTAAGAAGGAGCTGGTGGACAGACTGCAAGAGTTGCCAGATATTTATGATAAGGTAGGTCTAGTGTTACTATAATATAATAATGACTGTAAGTGAATTGGTTTCTTATGGCACGACGTGATCAATCGTAGACCGCATCATCGCTTACCATCAGGCGAGATAGTGGTCAAACGTCGGCCCATCAAATATAAAATTATATTACTATTATATGAAGCTAAAGAGTTTGTTCGTTTGTTTGTTTGTTTGAACACTCTAATCTAAGTAACTACTGGTCCGATTTGAGAAATTATTTTTGTGTTAGATAGACCGTTTATCAAGGAAAGCTATAGGCTATAAAACAATGCGCTACGATCATTAGGCGCCGAGCAGAGCAGGTGAAACCGCGCGGAAGTAGCTAGTTATGTCAAAATACAAGTGAAAAATTTGGTGAAAAGTGGGTGTTACATTTTAATATGCTTCTACAACAAAAGTTGCGATGTTTGACCGCTGAAAAAGAGATTATTATATTCATTACTTAGAACGACTTATAGAAAGTTTTACCACATTTTAAAAATCCTTGCAAAAGTAGTTGTACGGTGTGGTTGTCAAGGGCTATTTTTAAACTTTGCCCCACACTAGGATTATTTCCTGTGTCGTGGGTGCGCTTACAAATATACAAGTTTACATACACATGACACCTCGGCTTTGAACAACAATCTGTGAAACACATAAAGAGTTGTTCCGTCCGTGCGGGATCCAACACGTTGCGCGGCAGCCAGTTGGTCACCCACCGCACCAACCGTCAATAGTATCAACATTAATTGAATTAATTTTCTTTGTTTAATGCCCCACTAACTGGTCCTAGGATACTATTTACAAGGTGCATAATGTAAGTAACAATTGCACTTTTACTAACTGTATTGGAATTCCTGAGATTAGACAACTACACACGATATAATTATATATTATATCGCACAAGCACATGCCGTTAAATTGCGACCATACATCACAAAGGCATGGGCAATATTATTCTCAAAATTTTCTATGACGTAACTGTGCTTCTCAAGTTTCCTGCCGAGCTTGAGGATAATGGCGAACCTCCACCCTTAAAGAAGGCCTCCGTTAGGCAGTCTACTAGTAGAAGTTTATGCCTAATTGATACTACACATAAGGTTCATTTTATTTACAGATAGGCACATCATTAAAGCCGTTACAGCCAGGCATAGACTTATACGCAGCATTTACAAAATACATTCTCGGAGACAGAGCGACAGAGGTATTGCCATTATTGCAATTTGTGGTGGAGCATGGCAACACCACGGTGTACGAGTGGAGTTACGGGGAAGCCCCGCTTAGCGTCGAACCTGATCCCATTCATATTGAAATTGATGATGAAGACCAGGGTGCTGGGGATCAGGTAAGGAGACAATTTTTATGTATAACATGTTGGGTCTGAGACAAAAATAATTTTGAGATTTGAAATGAAATTTTAAAATAGCGCTCAGTATAATTGGTAAACTGATATAATATTAATGATCACTTAAAATACTTATATTTGCATTTGGATACTGCCTCGGTGGCCGAGTGGTCGCAAGTGCGACTACCGGGCAAGGGGTCTCGGGTTCGATTCCCGGGTCGGGCAAAGTATTACTGGGTTTTTAAAAAAAAAATTCAGTAGTAGCACGGAGTCTGGAAATGTGCCCGGTATATAGCAATAGGTTCACCCCCTATTATATGGGACTCTAAAATAAATAGTGAAAAGTGGCTTAAAGTGGGTGTTACTTCTGTCTACACCTCTGCCTACCCCTTAATGGATAAAAGGCGTGATGTTATGTCATGTTATGGATCTGTTCCGATGCCTTCGGCGACTCAAAGCACGTGTTGTATGAGATTTTTGGTAACAATATTAATTCTTTGGTCAGGTTTATTTCCTTTTCTCATTATTTTACCCAAAGGAATAAAAGTACATTTATAATATTTAGTTACCAGTTATAGCATCTAAATGTTTCAATCCTCAGATAGACTTCGGTGACGGTGGTGAGCTCGACTTCGGCTCACTGGACGCGCCGGCAGAGATCGACTTCGGTGACGGGGACGCCGGCGCCGAGATAGACTGGGGGAACATTGATGTCGCAGCTCCGGAAAATATTGTAAGTAAAATAATAATAAAATCATCAAATCAGCCATATTTCTTTTGTCGATGCTTGGATTACCTACTTAGTATTTGTTCTCTTCTTACATTCTTACCTTCAAACCTTCAAGAAAAGAGCGTATTCCTTTTTAAAAGGCCGGCAACGCAACTGTGACTCCTCTGGTGTTGCGGGTGTCCATGGGCGGCGGTGATCGCTTACCATCAGGCGATCCGTCTGCTCGTTTGCCTCTTATTCCATAAAAAAAGGATACGGTGAAGGAAAACATCGTGAGGAAACATGGACCATAAAATCATAATTTTGAAATCGCAAGCATACTCATGTCTTCTCCGTGTGGTTATTAAGCTGATGAATTGATGATAATGACTACCTATTTTTGCAGGATATATCGGCAGACCTAGCCCACGTGTCCCTCGAGGAGTCCGGCATAGTGGTGGAGGAACAGGGGGTGTGCGGCGGAGTGGCGCGGGGGAAGGATGCTCTCACTCTACTCGACAACCCCGCTACTAGGAACCAGATCATTGACCAACTTGTTGAGGTATTTTAACTAGGATTTATGTCAAAGTTGTACACTTTGTTTTAATTACACTAAAATGTTACCTGAAAGATACAAATTATCCTGTTTATCAGTATTTCTGTAAATCTGTAGTACGTATATTCTTGTAGAAAAGAGAACGAACAAAAACATGTTTAGTTAGGATTTTTGTCATCTTTCCTTCCTTACTTTAATGAATGATTTAAAGTTCATAAAGTTGGTTGGTTATTTTGAATAAATGACACAATTGATCTAACAAGACTTGTTATATTCATAAGTTATAAAGATTCGAATATCAAATATTTTTCATAAATAATCTTATTTTTTTTTTCTCATATCTCGTCTGCTATATGATACAATAGAAATACTACGGCATACTACAAGCTAATAAATGTTTGTTCACTTCCGTAGCTGGAATCATTCCTAAAGATGCGTCTATACGAGACGAACACGTCAGGTGACAATCACTCCTTCAGCTTACTGGAGCAGCTCCCCACAGAGAGTACGGCGGCGCTGACCGCCATGTTGGATGCTGTACAGGTCGCGGCTAGTAAACTCACTGCGCCTGAGATGAACCATCTACATAATGTTAAGCATTCTCCTAGGTAAGTGATACAAGGTTACGTTTTTTTATCTGCAATTGTGCGGTATGACTTATTTTGAAGCTTACCTAGTCATCCAGGTTTCTCGAAGTTCATATTTTGAGATTTTCGAAATAATATTAATATAATCATGTTTTGAACATATGGTGTATTCCAAAACCTAACCTTTTTACAAGGACGATAAACGACTGATAGTGTTAGTTTCCGCAGGTAACGCTAAGCGATTGCTTCAGACAGCTCGTTCACCGCTATCCTCTTAAAATCCAAGGCATTTTAGCAATTTACCAAGACCTAAATTAACACTAGCGTCGCGGAGAACCTAACGGGTAACCGGGAGAAGGAACGGGGTGGTTTTTAGTCAGTAAGAGACTGACACTCCCTCCCGCCTCACCCAGGCGGGAGCAGTCATTCGATGATTTTCCCCCATAAAAAAAAATAATACTAGCGCCATCTACTAAGCACAAAACAGTAGCTCTAGTAGCCACAAAATATTATCGAAACTCACAATAATACTTCCCCAACAGGTACGTGGACGTTTTAACAGCCCAACTGAAACAGAAGCTAGCTCTGTGCGACAAGTTGTCCCGCCTGGCGTCGCGCGCGGCGGAACAGAGCGCGGCGGCCGGCGCGCGCGCCGCCGAGCTGCGCCCTGTACTCACGCGCATCATTGCCAGGACTAAGGAGCTGCAGGCACAGGTACGTAGCATTCTTACATTTGTAGATCAGGGAGCTTATTCTTGAACCAAATGTGGTCTACCATATTCTTAGACAAAGAACGACAGTTTCACACTAGCGACATCTAGTGACTAAGAACGATAAGTTCACACTAGGTTCACACTACACACACACTATTGGACTAAGAATCTTAGTCCAATAGGGAATTAGTTAGTGTTACACCATTGGACATTCAATATTTGACAGTTGCTATGATTGGACAAAATCCCCTTCTACATTATAGTCATCTGGTGAAAATAAAATGGTAATACCCATTCCGATCGATTGACATTAATGTTATGAAGTTTCATTCTCTTGAGTCGTAATCCTGGGGCCTATTGCATCTATACTGAATGAACTAAATGGTATTAAATTTGGTTTGGTGTATTGTAGTTAATTGCTATATTGTGGTGTAGTAGTCGTATGATATATATAAAGGATCCTATATTCAATGAATTCAGTGTGATCTTGGAGCTCGTTGGTTTCATTACACTCATCCAAACACCCAACCTTACATGGCGACCCTGCCAGGACCATAGCACGGCACGGGGCCGAGCGCGCGTGCTCCATATGCGGGCAAAATATTCTAAACAAAAAGTGGAAAGTTACAGGCGTCTTTAAAATGAATAAAATTGCATCGGAGCACACGCCGTATATACCACAGTATCTTTTTTTTTTAAATAATAAGTGTTTATTGTAGTAAAAACTTAAGACACACAGTTTATGAATACATAACATACATAATGCCGCCTTTTATCCCCGAAGGGGTAGGCAGAGGTGCACACAGAAGTAACACCCACTTTTCACTATTTATGTCCCGAGTCTATTAGAAGTCTATTAGAGAATATAGGCCCTATTGCCATATACCGGGCACATTTCCAGACTCCGTGCTACTACTGAGATTTTTTTTAAAAACCCAGTAATACTTTGCCCGACCCGGGAATCGAACCCGAGACCCCTCGCACTCGCGACCACTCGGCCAACGAGGCAGTTTATGAATACTAACATCTAAACTAGACCGAGCCTGTACCTTAGATGTTAGTTCCTTCCAATTGAGACAGTATATTATTTACAAACAATTTATAGTTTGTAAATGGTTTATAACATTATTGATATCTAATGAACGAGTATGAAGCAAGGTTTGCTAACAAAAATTTTCTTTCCATAGATTGAAAGCGAGATTTCGAAGAAGTACAAAGGCCGACCGGTGAACATCATTGGAGGCGTCAAGTTCTTATAGATTCTCTATTATTGTACATATTGTTGGTTCTATTCGTTATTATAAATAAATTATATATATATACGGTTCATTTTATACAACTTTAGCGTATTTATTTATACGTTCTAATCATATTTTTTTAAAAAGCAATCATTATTTTTTTTTGCTCCTGCTAGAGGTTTCGCCAGCGTGTTCACTAGTGCCTAGTGGGATAAAAACTGGCCTATGTGTTATTCCAAACCATAATATATCCCTGTTCCAAACTTCATCTCGATCCCTTCAGCCGTTTTGACGTGAAAGAGTAACAAACAGAAACACACGCATTTATAGTATTAGTAGGACGTAGGACTAGTAGGATTAAGAACAACTGCCTGCGGCTTCTCCCGCGTTTCAGAGTATGTGTACATGTGTATTTAGTATGCAGTTAAAAAAACTATACTTTCTCGGTATTTTCAATAGCTACTCTCTTATTTATTTATTTATTTATTTAAGGACAACCAACAAAGCATACACCAAAATACATGAAAGGTTTTTAACATAATATTTTAACACTCTATAGTGTAGCCTTAATTAAAGGCTGTCACAACATGCATTATAAAAGAACAGGATAAACAACAAAAAAAAAACAAAAAGTTCGCTTATCAAAAAAGACATCAATTTCAATCACAATTGTTAAATTTAGACAGTATTCTCTTTGGACAGTAGGTATTGAAATTGTAATACTAAGGGCTTGTACACAAAACTGCGATGTGACGTCGCATCGCAAAAATGTGCGAGCTCCCTCTACGCAACGCAAGAACTTGCGAATTGGTTCGCATCGCGCATCAAAAGAAGATAAGAAACTTCCCAAAATCTTTGTTTCTTTTTCCTATATCTCCTAAGCAATAACAGAAGTGCACACTTATTTTTACGATCCATGTCATGACTTAGTTTTCAATTTAAAATAGGTACGTTTAGTACGGTTGATGGTCGTCAAAGAAGTCAACCTGGGAGACGCTTTATCGTACGAAATCGCATCGCAGCAATTATTTTCGTAATTTTCTGCGTTGCGAATTCGCATCGCATCACAGTTTTGTGTACGAGTCCTAGGTTATATGTTTTGTAACGCAGCAAGCCAAATCTTTTAAAACCATTGGTCGGGTCAGTAGACAAGTAATGGTTACTGTCTCTCTGCGAAATTAACCTTTATTTTCTTACATGGATACTGAATAACTTGGTTGGCTGTATAAACCAACAAAAATACATTTATGATAATAGTATACTTAAGTATATAAAGGTCAATCCTAAGTAACTACTTACATTGAACAATCTCTTCATTATACTTTAAATAAGCAACTCGTTAAAAGCACTTCGCACTTGAAGTAAGGTCAGACCACATTAAAATCGGCGCAGCAATTACGGAGATTAGGTGTAAAGTCCGAACAAACACTTGTAGCGTGATTAGCAGTATCCATACTAGTATGTACAATCGACAAAATTGTAGAGTATCCAGCTAAGAATAACATCTTTTGTACATCCCTAAATACACTTTTTTTTTTTCGGTTTTTACATGGCTGCAAGTGGCTACTTATAGTGGCCAGCGGATCAACCTACTACAATCGATCAAATTTTTTCATTGAATTTTGTGGTTTTTGTGGTTACTGGGGTTCCTTACTGTAGCAGATTAGGCCTGGATGTTGTTCACAATGAATTTGTGAAACTGAGAAAATTGGGGGGAACGCGGATTCGATTTTTAAATTTTAGCGCGAACACACTTCGTTTCCGTGAGACATACTAAATGAAGTAAAATCGCGGGTTACTCACGTGAATATACTGAGAAAAGCTCTACTAGTTTCGAACCACAGAGGGGTTCTTCCTCATGACCAGCGTGCGCAACGTCGCCGCGACCGCGCACGCTGCCGCGCTCGCGGCGCACTTCGTTACCGCCATTTTTCTTGTCGCGCTTCGCACGTAAATTTCAAATTACAAAACAGGTTTTAAAAAACAGTTGCCTACACTTACTTGCACTAAATAGACCAGTGGAGCTTTTCATAATAATTACTAAAACTATATACAATCTTAGTCTAGATGCCACTCACCTACAAGACTGACATTTGCTGACAGTACCTATTGATGTGTCAATAGTTCACGAAATTCGCACACTTGTGACATACGCACACACTGCTTCCGAAGGCTATTGACAGACAAACATTTGTGGACGCAACTTGTATTATTATTGACTGTATGATGCAAAAATATTAAATTGTAGGCAATTATTACGTAAGTGGATAGAGTTTAGTCTGATTCACAAGTGTGGCATTACTTTTTCTTTCATACAAACTAAGTTCGGATGAGAATTTTCAAGTTCAGGCTTTTCCTACCTTCATTTTTATATAGACGGACACTGGTAAAAAAAATGGCGATATATTAAAGAAGGGCCTAATTAAAAATACCCCTAACCCCTAACCGATGAGTATGCACGAAAAGATTGATCACAATTCAATAATTGTGATCAATCGTAGCAATTGGCATTCCATAGCCTCTGCCTACTCCCATAGGAGACAGGCGTGAGAATATATTCATATATATGTATGTATGTACATAAAAAAACACGCTCGTTACTATTAATCAGTTTTAAATTAACAAATCCAACACAAGGCTTTATTATATTTGTATTGTAACTTTCGTGAGACATACTAAATAAATTATTATGTTTTCGGCTTACTCATGACTTGAATGAAATCTAGCATAGCTTGAAACTAGTCGAGTTCCTCGTCGAATTACAACGTGAATAAGTCGAAAACATAATAACAAGGCTTTATTGAAAATTTTTTACATGCTACTTGCAGGCAAACTTGAATAACAAAAAAAAAATGTATGTACACCTTAAAGTAAACTAACACTAAAACAGTAAACACGAAAAGTAACTAATATAAAAAATACCTTTTACAAACTAGTTTTATAAAAAAATACAACCATAGACAATTTTTTAACTAGGTACATAAATATGAATAACTTAACCATAAAAATACACATAGGGGTAATAGTAATAATACGAAGGGTAATAGGCGGGGTAATAATAATAAGGGTAATAATAAGGCCAGTAGACCACGCAATCAGGCTTTTTGTCCTTTTCTGTATCATTGGCGCTATTTCTTCTCATATGTTGTGAATTTGGCAGGCAGTTCGGTTTTGCTGGATTCGATTTACATTCGTTTAGTAATATTATTGTAATGTATATTACAAAGATGTTGAACAACCGGACCATCTGTAAATAAGTATGTTATTTAAAGTTTTTGGGTACCTACCCATTAATATTATGAATGATTTTAATGTGTTTCATCGTGTTCCCGCCTGGGTGAGGCGGGAGGGAGTGTCAGACTCTTACTGACTAAAAACCACCCCAATCCTTCTCTTGCGACCTGTAAGGTAACTTGTAACCTGTTAGGTTTTCCGCGACGAATTTAATGTGTAGGGCTCGGTCCCGTTGTATATTACATTCAACAGACCGGGCAGCAGCGCTCTCTAAATAGCGTGAACCATTTACACTGCAATCCTCAATCCGCCTGCCAAGCATGCGGATAATGGTAAGCTCCTCCTATGCAGTGGAAGCCTGGAAACCAGTAGTCACGGACTGTTAATGGATTGCCCGGTTATAACCGTGTCTCACTCCCTATCATGTTGAAGCCAAGGTAAGTGTATAAAACTGTCTACCTCCTCAAAGATTAAGCAGGCGTGACGATTGCTTACGTTATGTACCTATGCTAAAAATATTATATCTTATACTATAAAGCGGAAGAGTTTGTTGTTTGTTTGTTTGTTTGAACGCGCTAATCTCCGTAACTACAAGTCTGATTTGAATAATTCTTTTTGTGTTGGATAATGCATTTATCGAGGATGGCTATAGGCTATAAAACATCACGCTACGACCAATAGGAGCTGAGCAGAGCGTGTGAAACTGCACAGAAGTAGCTAGTAATTTGTAAACTATTGTTAATTTAATACTTACATTTGTCGGCAGCATTTTTCTAATTTCGAAATTTTTTGATCCTCTAAGTTACAACTGAGAATACTGCCACTTCAATCAATGTAGCTGCACGTTACGAAATACAAATATTATGCTGTCTTATAAAACGATATTATCAATGGTCTTGCTGTTGACATAGCCAGGTAATCAACTATTGATTCACCGTGAACTATCATTGATTAGTTTGCCATTATTAATCTAATTTGTATCTTCAATTGTGACTAGAAATCTGTTCTTTAAAACTGCGATGGATGAATTTAGTTGCTTATATATATATTATTGAGTTAAATATTATTATTTTTAAACTGTAAATCTGTAACAAGATGAGTCTTTAGAATCGAGGTTGGTAGTGGAGTTTTAATTAAATCAATAGGACGACGATGGTCAGGAAACTAAATGAACGAAACGATGCGAATATTGTATTTTTTACTTCAAACATAAGGCCGTTAAAATTAGTAAATACATTTAACTAATTCGGTTGTATTTTCTAAAATAAGTACTAATTTATGTTCATTGGCAGACTATATTTATTTATTTATTTACACACTTTATTGTATACCATAAAAACATACATAGAAAAATAAACATGAAAATAATGTTGTACAATGTTCGGTACTATAACGGTACTGTAGTACTATAAGTAGTTAGGTAGGTGTAATGGTTTTAACAATGTCTAGTTTTAACACAAATGGAATGCTTTGGAGGTCCTCAGCGGAATCTAGTAATTAAATACGAATTACGAAGCTGATATTTAGCATCTAGTAAATCTTACAATCGATAAAAGTATGCGGGTTTCCCAAAGTAGGATCTCAGTTAGATAACGAGTATCTAAGCTTGATTGATCATTCTAGCTTTGGACTTAGTTGAAAATTTTGTATAGGTACCGGTCTACTTACTACTTTCTAGCTCGTTGGTACTTGCACTTCTTGGTAGATTTTGATTCTGAACCCACACACTGATGATGAAGGCTACCTTTACCTCTAAATTAACAAGACTTTATAATATGAAAATTAATTTTATTCAGATTTTTAACCACTTGTTATCTACTCTACGTTGGTACTAGGCATGTGCTTAATTTACTTTGACATTTTTGTTATTTTCCCAATTAAAGTAGAAAATAATTTTTATAATCACCTGGGTATATCTAATTATCCGTAACTATCTGAGCACTCTAACATGTTTTGTGTTTCTTAATTAAATTGCTAACTACTTTATAAAACGTATGAATTCTTATCTAGAATATTTAGGTATACCTACAATTTATTTTCTCGATTTCACGTGTATTAGAATATTATATTGGGTTACATACATGCTGAAGCATAGCTTACGGTAAATAGGGCTACAAGTTTAGTAAAATACTTTACAATTTATTGAGTCTTAAATATAAGACTCAATTTATTGAGTCTGTCAGTATTCGGGCGTTAGCATTCGTTAATAGTCGCGCTTAAGTATGGTTTTGTCACTACAAATTCTTTGTAAAATGTTAGAGGTGGCACGATATTTAAGTACAACTTAAAGTTGAGTAGCCTTTCAGTGTCCGGGCGTAATTATCTACATCTTATATTTATATTTATTTATAATAATTTATAATAATAATTTATTTATAATAATTTATATATATATTATATTTATTTATACATAAAAAAATCGTAGAAAAGTCAAAATTGTACATTGAATATTTACAAAAAAGAATACTTGGAGCGTGTTCTAAAATCGATACTGAAGCCAAAAATATGGTTTTTTAGAATGTTTTTACATGAATATTACTAACAAGCCGGGTCAACATATTGGATACATATTATCATGCTATCATCTACGGGCGACATTCGTTACTGTAGAAAATCCCTTGATAAAGACTAATTCAAAAGCATAAATTCTGCCAAAAGTCATTATTCTACGCGGATGAAGCCGCGGGCAACAGCTAGTTTTAAATATAACTTCATTTAGGTACCTACTGTAAATAGTTTTCCACGTCTAAGATTACTTATATTTTATAATCTGGTAGTATTAGAAAGTCCAAAAAATTGGTACTATCACCTCGATGAATTTATACACACCACTTTTTATTGAAGTGTACGAATGGTGCGGAGGCTGTGGCCGCGCGGAACAACTCTTTGTGTGATCCACAGATTATTTACATATTTCGATCCTGAGTGTCATGTGTATGTGAACTTATATGTTTGTAAACGCACCCACGACACGGGATTAACTCGTCGAGTACCGGTTTTGTAGACACAATTATAGAACAATAGGTTGCGGTCACCGGTGACCGCTTGGTGTTTGACAGTTTAAATCCTAGTATCCTGTAACGTTTTAAAAAATCTTTCAGCGGCCAGGAAAATCTTTCAGCAGTGTGCACAAACAGACGTAAATATATTCTTATCATGTTTAATTGAATTAATTGCTTTGTACAATAACGCACGTGTTGAGAAAAACGTGTGACTCGATGTTGTAGTCGCGTGTACTGGTTAATGGGACGGATAAACTATTCAATATATAATTTGTTGCAAGGTATAGGTAATTATAATGATTAAATATCAATAATGCAGGTATTCAGCAATCACTGTCTCGATAGTCGTATCTGCCAATGGTGTCCAAGCTTAAAGTCTCGAGCAACATCTGAGTAGGCTAGCTAAGTAGGTTAGATGGTTGGGTCAAGGGCCTGATGCAGAAAGCAGTACTTTTGTATACAGCACGTATTATCCGGAAATTCCTCTCTCTGGAGCCCTGACCGCCGCGGTAGCTTGGATTTTTCCTGCTAATGAAATATATGTTATAAATATACTTTATAAGGAATTATAGACATTTGGTCCTGCTTGGACCTAAAATTATAAGGACCAGATAATCAAATTGTTTTGTAATAAACATAATCCTATATACATATAAGCATTCAATCTCAATCAAATTCTTATCAGTATCATCCATACCTGTCACATATTTTCACTTCAATAAATCGCCTGATCTTTTGTCTCTATCGTATTACAGGAAAGTAATAGAGATAGCTTATATGTAGACTGAAGATTTTGTATGTTGTGATTTTGAATAAAGATCAGCTGATCGTCTTATAATGGAGGGTTCGGCTTTATTGACCAATCACTCGGAAAAGGTAAGGGTTGCTATCAAGATCAATGTTTTATAAATAAACGGACTGTTGTTCGATTGCTAATCAGTGATATTTTTGGATACTCTATTGTATATACCCTTGTCTATATGTTCAGAGCTGGTGTTCCTTTGTCGGGTATGAAGAGTGGGTGTCGGTTTAGGTGTCGGGAGAGCCATGTTACAGCGCGAATCGGCCAGTTCAACCGGAGTGATAGTGGTGTCACACAAAACTAACGTGAAACAACGCTTGCGTGTGTTTCGTCGAGGCCCAATTCCCCTTCCCTTCCCCAATCTCTGAATCCTCAACAATCCTTAAATTCCTAAATCCCAAAAGGCCGGTAAAGCACTTGTAATGCCTGTGGTGTTCCAGGTGTCCATGGGCGACGCCGATTGCTTACAATCAGGTGATCCGTCTGCTCGTTTACCGGCTTAACCCATAAAAAACGTTCAAATTTAAATGTTAAAGGATTCGTTTCTGGTGTTGGTACTGACAAATTGTTATTAATAGTTTTATGAACCTAAGTGTGTGCTTTAAGTAAAACTTACATTAGATGAAAAGTATGTATGTAAGTAAGTTGGTTGGTACTTACGAAGTACTTAAATAATATTCAGACTTTCTATAAAATAAAACTGTTTTGTAGATGTCTCCTCCAGTGCAAATTAGGTAACATTTTTTTTTATGTCATAAGCCGGTAAACGAGCAGACGGATCACCTGATTGTAAGCAATCGGCGTCGCCCATGGACACCTGGAACACCACAGGCATTACAAGTGCTTTACCGGCCTTTTGGGATTTAGGAATTTAAGGATTGTTGAGGATTCAGAGATTGGGGAAGGGAAGGGGAATTGGGCCTCCGATGACCTCACTCACACGACGAAACACAACGAAAGCGTTGCTTCACGTCGGTTTTCTGTGAGGCCGTGGTGTCACTCCGGTCGAGCCGGCCCATTCGTGCCGAAGCATTGCTCTCCCACACTTAAAACTTGCCGTGTTTAAGATTAGAAACGTTTAAACTGCGTCAGTAAGACTATTTCCATGAGAAACCTTTTACTATGTCGTAGGAATAGCGATTAACGTAAACCTTAGCTACATATATACTTAAAGACTAGATTTACAAAACCCATTGTTTATAGTGGTCCCTTACTTTACCAAACAAAGTAAGTGACGGATTATGCTGATTCTAGGCCTAGTACACCTGCATATTTGACTACAACAACTTTTATATTCTTTCAACAAGTTTCCGAACTTATTATAACAGAATAAGGCAGGAATTCCAATAAAGTATTTTGTTATTATGGGGTAACTTCGTGTGCTGTATAAAACAAGCTAATGCATCGTGGGATAAAGCCATACATTGTATGCTTTATACAATGGTAGAGGTAATCAGTTAGAGATGCAAAGATACGCCACTCGTGCGTCCAATTTATTACAATGTATAAATAATATACCAGAATTATGCAATTTTTGGAAAGTATAACAATGATTTTAATCTAATTCTTTTGTGTTTTGTTAATGTAGGTGCGTATATATGGCCACCTATATATTTTTTCGGTTACTGACTAATGGTTACGACATTTTTTTTTAGTTTTGTGTGATAGTTTCATTTATGTATGTACCTTAGTGATTGTCTTTGTTGTAGTCATTGTGTGTGGGTAAGTAATGTCATCATTTTAGGTGATTTCATTATTTATAGGTACATTTATAACATAACATAACGTCATGCCTTACATCGGAAGGGTTAGGCAGTTGTGCACATTATGCCATTGTACAATGTAATACCCACTTTTCACTATTTATATTATGAGTCCCATGTAATAGGGGGTGAGCCTATTGCCATATATCGGGCATATTTCTAGACTCCGTGCAACTACTGAGAATTTAAAAAAATTCCAGTACCTAATATTTTGCTCGACCAGGGAATCGAAACCGATATCCCTTGCGACCAGTCGGCCAACGAGGTAGCAGGTCTATTTAAGTAAAACTAAATTATAGTATTTTTGTTACGTATTGCAATATTTAACAAAGAGAACGGAATTTAAAATATTAAAACCAATAGGTTCAAAGTGTGGGAGAGCCATGCTTCGGCACGAATGGGCCGGCTCGACCGGAGTGATACCACGGCCTCACAGAAAACCGACGTGAAGCAACGCTTGCATTGTGTTTCGTCGCGTGAGTGAGGTTACCGGAGGCCCAATTTCCCTCCCCTTCCCCAATCTCCCCAATCCCTGAATCCCCAACAATCCTCAAACTCCTAATCCACAAATAGCCGGTAACGCACTTGTTACGCCTCTGGTGTTCCAGGTGTCCATGGGCGACGCCGATTGCTTTCCATCAGGTGATCCGTCTGCTCGTTTACCGGCTTATGCCATAAAAAAAAAAAAAAGGTAGAATTTGGGGTTCATCATGGTATAGGATAACAGGACACAATAAAACAACTTTAATAATACTAATTTGTTTATTTATTTACAACCTTTATTTAAAATATAATAACATTATTATGGTAACCATTCCATAGGAATGACTTGGTAACTATACATATATTTAATTTGTACAATAGCATATTTTTTTTACTATTTGATCAGTTAAAAAATGTCATAGTAAGTAGCTCAGAAGGTCAATAAAGGCTAACGAGCCAAGATCTGGTTAGTAGAGCAAATTTTTTTTCTTTCTATGTGATATTAATGTTGCATCTGTTGGTTTATGTCATCGGAACATGAGCAGGTTTTGCAGCAGTCGTATCGGGGAGGATCGACACAGAGCTCGTCGTCGAGGACACCGGTACCTTCTCACACACATAGCGAATTGTCTGCAATAAGAGAAGTGTAACATGAATTGCATAATTATCTTGTACCTCTTTCAAACTATAAAATAGTGTTGTATTCCTTTCTCAAAGGTCGGAAACGCCCTAGTGACTCCTTTGGCGTCCCAAGTTCCCAGTTTACGATAATTAATTTTGTTTCTTTGTACCATAATTTATTACAATTAGATTCTTTCGAATAGTTAAATAGAGGTAGGATTAGGATAGTTGGTGGTAACACAAACGCCCAAGCGCCATCTAGGCACCAAAATAAAATAGGGCAACAAAAAGAAGTGTCTTTCCGATCGATTGCATGTAATGTCATGTAAATGAAGTTATTGTAGGACATGATATCTTACCTATCACATTCGCAAAGTCGTCCAGCACACCGGTTAATGAAGTCATGCTGTGAGTCAAAGTTCTCCAGCGCACACAGAGGCTGTCCATGGTAGCACTTCCAGAAGTAAGGCTGCAAGTATACTGTATAGAATGGACAGTAGATGTTCTCGTAACATTCGTCGTGGAGCTTGCAACACCTGGAGATTGGAAGAGGTTAATTGGATTTGTTGATGTTGATTTAAGAATGGGCGTAGTATCCAGAAAATGTTGATGTTTATTATAGTTAAAGAGACAAATTGGTTTACTAGAGAATGGTGCTGCTCGTTTTTTGTCAAAGGTTTTATCTTTTACGACACTAGTCCCTGCCCTAATTCCTTCTATCATATACTTGCTCTTCCTGAAAAGGAATGTGAAAAATTGAATCTGCATCTGCTCTACCATCACCAGACAATTTCAATTCCTTTATTAAAAACACGATCTACCTCAAAACCTAATTCAGGTTTTCATCACACTCACCTGTCAATACCGTCAGTAGGTCGCCCTTCTCCAAGGAAGCCGCAGTAGCATCCATAGCCTTTATAAGCGAGAGGATCGCAGCCAGTGGCGCAGTACATCATGTTGTACAGGTGGAACACGCCACGCTTGCCACGGTTCTCCGTCTTACTCATGTATACTTGGGGATCTATGTTCCTGTAAATATAACGTATTTAAATTAACCGTCATTGAATCTTCAAATCTTCAATCCTGAATCCTTTAAACTAACTCCTTTAGCGTTATGAGTGTCCATGCGCCGATTGGTTAACATTAGGTGATTTGTTTGCTTTTCACTATCCTTTATCATATAAGAAACATGCAGACCTTTTCTCACTGGGAAATGGAAAGAGCATTGGTGGCTACCCTTGTTCGGGAGAAATTAGCAAATTGCCTGACGTCTTAAGACCAAAAAATCGTTAAAAACTCACCTGACCCCTTTCCTATAATCGTCTTCAGGCACGGAGTACCTAAAGGGATCCCTGGCGAATCCCACCAGCAGTAGACCACTAGCATCCTTATAATGAGGTCGTTCCTCAACCTCATTACTCCTGGTGTCATTGTGGATGTACTTAGGACTATTTACATGGCTGCTAAAACTACTGACTGCGGTGTATGGCTTGTACACAGTTTGTAACTGTGCGTAGTGTGTGTTGTTGTATATTTGCTCGTATGTTAGATGTCTTGGCCAGTCTGGAAAGAGAGAAAGAAGTTGTTTTTAAATTGTTGATTAATTGATTTATGAGTTTTAAAAATTAGAGAAATAATAAAGTTGGAATGAGAATTATCGGTGAATATTGGCACTATTGGCAGACTACCACTTTACTCACCAAGGGATAAAGTGTTTAGATTTGAATTAGGCTTATGCTTAAAAAGAGTACTTCTTTGGAGACAGCCAATCAAGGCGGACTTTGCATTTGTGTTCCTACATAAAAATTAAACCAGCTCAAAATTCAATAGTAGTACAGTTTTGACTTAAACACATAGCAATTACGTAAATAAGGCTAATATTTGCATCATCCACCAAACAATGAAAGCAGATCAGAATCCTCATATTATGGCAAAAATCTATTTCAGTGTTTCACGGCCTGATTGTTATAGGACAATGTATTAATTGAATAGATACGTGTATATAGAAGATAGTGATACAGTATACAATTGTTAGTGTAGGTAACGAACTGTGAAAATGTATAACTATGTCTATTTAGATTTAGAACATTTCGCTGTGTGTGGTCAACAAAATGAATATGACTTTAATATTGTAAAAGCATCTATTGATTTGTTAAATAGTTCGTTAATGTAGTTGTAGATTTTTGTGTCTTATACTCAAATACTGAAATGCCTCTCAGTTTTAAGTCGCGCTTGAGTATAGTTCTGTCACTAACAAATTCCTTGTAAAATGACAGAGGGGCCCGATATTTAAGAACAACTTAAAATTGAATCGGCGTTATTCACCGACCTTATTCGTACCACGGCCCTTTTAGTATGAATATCCGTTGTTGTTTTATTTGTAACTAATATTAAATCCAATACATTTGCCACCTCGTACTTGTGTAAGTTGATATTTTCGTCAATGGTTCAAATAAAAAGTATGGATAGAAAGCGTTTAAATTCGGAAAACGATTTTATTCTGTGTCAAAATGGACCCACGATGGGAATGGGATGGAAATTAACGGGTCTTATAAGTTTATTGTTTAATTATAGATATATGTATCTCAGAAGTTATTATTATCTTTTGTTCATACAAATGAGTTGCATCTTTTAGTTAACATTTTTCTTAATAAATATTTATAAATGATATTCATTCTTTTTTACTGCTGTAGCTATCCCAACCTTTAGCAACTCCACTATAAAAGCTTCGCGACTCCCCTGGAGTATACATCCCCATAATATCGCCCGTTTTAATGACATCACAACTTATCTACAAACATCACCTGTACTTATTTACGGAACGATTAAGTAAAAGTATTTCTACTTAAGTACTATCTTCTATTACTACGATAGATATGACATTGTTGTACATACTACAACTATGTACTTCCACGAGAAGTGAACATCAAAAATATTTTCACGTTCTGACCTCTCACCTCACATACTTAAGAGTCATTACACCTTGCCAAATCATTGCTAACTAATGGCAAATTGAAATCGTAGTACATCAATTGAAATTAAACCTTATTGAGAGAGTAAAAGAGTTGATTAGACCTCTGGGAACCAATGGAAGGGTTTTTGTTGAAGGAATGTTACGCATCATGGTGATTTACAAAGTAGACTTGATTTAAATCCGAGGTACGGGGTTTTGAATGTGAAACGTGAATGTCGGTCATTTCTTTATGATTGGAGTGTCGTTGAGTTCTTTTCTTTTATGGGATCAAATTATCCCTTACGGCGTTTGGGATAGGTAATTACGTTTTTAGATTGCGGTTGTCTGTTATTAAGTATTAAGACAAATTGTTAAAAGTATGTAAATGAAGGTACCTCAGTCAGGTATGCATTTTATCGAACCGATTGCGTTTCGTAAGTAGTTAAAATTATAATAATAGTGATACTATGTTATAACCGTTTTAATGCAGCCTAGAATTTGAGCCTTTTTAACCTAAATTGAAGGGTAACTACAGCCTACGCAGGCTATAGGCTGCGTGATATCGCCGCGCACGCTGCTCATGAGGAAGAGTCCCTGTGTCACTCGAAATTAATAGAGCTTCTCTTAGTATTTTTCTCGTAAGTAACCCGTAATTTTTAGTTTATCAGTATGTCTCACGATTATTCTATTTTTTTATATCAAATATCTACGTATAATACGTTTACATGTTCACGGAAACCTTTAGAATCCTTTAATATAGACAAAAATAACAAGTTTTTATTGATAAGGTACACTGGACAAGTATGTCAGAAATTAAAACCATTACTATTGTTTAAATATTCTATTAAAACGATAGTAATCACGTGCGACATGCGAAACTGAATAAATAAATAATTAACATTGATCAAGAGAGGATTTTAAATAAAATTTACATTTAACATGATACATAATGCTGTTGTTTTGTCATTTAATTACATTGAAATTATTAATTAAATGTCTTATTGTATTTTACACAACAAGTTATAAAAACCAGTATACACTGACCGACGAATTTGTATAATGTTCATACAAAGTGAAGGCCATGATAAATTGGATCTTATAATTCGATGTGCAGCCTATTGTTTTTCGACCTGACCTTGTATTGAGCATGAGATATTATGTTAATTTAAGATTAAATACAATGTTTGTTCTTGCAACGATTTAGATTGGATTGTGAACAATGAGAAATTTCAGTGTTAAACTTAAATTGTGACAATTTTTGTCAACATTTTTGTATTGTTAACTTACAAGTTTGTGTGCAAGTTTCAATATTTTTTTTTATAGAATAGGAGGCAAACGAGCAGACGGATCACCTGATGGTAAGCGATCAGCGCCGCCCATGGACATCCGCAACACCAGAGGCGTCACAAGTGCATTGCCGGCCTTTTAAAAAGGAATACGCTCTTTTCTTGAAGGTTTGAAGGTCGTATCGGTTCGGAAATACCGCCGACGACAGATCATTCCACAGTTTTGCGAGGCAGAAAGCTACGTGAGAACCACCTATATGATGGGGATGCATATGCTGTTATTTTTAGATAATTCACATAGTTGCAGGTCCATACAAAAACATTAATAAAGGTGATGAATAAACGTATTTGAGAAAAGGAATCTTAATTGAATAAGTGTTTGTTTACGTTACTTTTTAATAGAGCACCTTTGGCTAACATTTTGGAAAATAAAGATGTGTCTGTATATGTGTGTCGTAAACGGTAAAAGGCTTACATACACAACATAGAGGATGATTCATATGTCAAAGTTACCCAAAAACGTTGTTTCGAAATTGGACTGTTCGTTAGTTGTTTCGTATTGACATTAATGGTAGTTAAATTTGTCGTTAAAAGTAGTTTATTTAAAAACTTTATAAAAATATCTATATAAATAATTTAAACCACTGTTGGTACCTAATTTTGAAATTCTTTCTACTGTGTACCTATATATACAAGATCTTGATAGCCATTCTCACTTACAACCTCAGCAATCATACTTTTCAACAGATTATATGGGAACGAGCCTTGACGTTGTTTTAATATAGTATTTATTAACAATCAACAATTGTACAATCTCCTTTCTGAAATTTGTTTAAAAACAAAGGAGATTAAAACAGTTCTTAATCTGATAAGTATTACTCCATTCTTGCCACTGAATACCATTTTTACATTGTTTTATTTAGACAACATCTACTTCAATTTAGGCAACGCCTTATTGACCAATAATTACGGTTATGTGCCAAGGTCCAATGTATATTGGCTTATGTAAAATATCTAGTAGATAAATATGATTTTTAACTGTCTAGGACATGTCAAATATGGTTCAAATGTTGGAAGTGGACGTTGTGAGAGTCCCCTGACATTTTATTAGATATGATTATTACCATACTTATGATTATAATTTATTTAGTTTCTGATTTGGTGTGGAAATTAACATAATCGCTTTATTTCTTAGTGAGATAGGTCATTTATTACTATTGTGTAGTAATATTACCGTTTGGTTGTGTAGATTTCAAGAGTGGCGTACATTTTGGTAGGTTAACACTGAATTCGGACTGATATTTGCACTTTAAATTATGAGTGATCGCAATTGCAATCAATTCTTTGTTAAGTTGTTGAAGAGTAATTTGTCCAGTTTTATTAGGTTATCTTTGAGGTGTTTATTCACTAAAGACATCCACGAGAACCAGCGGCGGTTTTTTTATTGCAGCTCATTAACTAGCTGGTTCAGCCCTCTATACAATGTGCCTAATTAACAACACAATTAGCGGAACGTGATTGCACTATAACGTAACCTTAGCTTACCCCTTAGGGCATTAACAGACGTGATACCACGTCATATACTTAATGAAGTAACAATGGAATTCGGACATTGTCTCGAATTCGATGTCTTCACGTCCATCACCTCAATATAAATCATTGGAATACATACAAAAACCAGCACAACTCGATTGGTTAACTTGTCGCAATGTGTTCAACAAGTGACCTGGCCAAATCTGTATCATATTCCCATGTACCGGTTTTTTCTCAGGTCAGTTACATAATGAAATAATGGACTTTTTAGACCAGTGAGTTCATGTTCCACTTTGTGATGAATATGCAGTTCTTATTATGTGTAAAATAAGTGCTTAAAATATGTAGGAGACACCTTACTGGTAGTTTTGTTTACATTTTGTAATCGTATTGCGTTTGTTTACGACTTTAAGTTCAAGTAAGTACACGGTTTTGTTTGTAGAGTAAGACAATGTTGTTTTAAGTAGTCTTGGGTTAATAAGTGGGTAGGTGTCTTTATGGTTGTAGTAGGAATGGGCGATGTCTATGCTCTATACAAAACTGAATCTATCCTAGGTACTTGTATGTCTAGAAGCGCGCCATGTGTAGAGCGCCACAGGTTTTTGAGAATCTGTTAGAATTGATTTCAACTCGTCGAGTACCGTCATTATAGACACAATTATAGAAGAATAGGTTGCGGTCACCGGTGACCGCTTGGTGTTTGACAGTTAAAAATTCTTTTTAATGATTAAATTAAAGAATAATCTTTATATTAAACGGTCTTTGAAATAGGCATGGGGTTTTTACTAAAG